TGTAATTTATCTTTTTCATTGAAATTATATTTGTGTTTGTATGCATCTGATTCAATGTACTCATGTATAATTATGTAAAATGAAGAAATATTTGTTACTTTATGTATATGATTATGTTTCATTTTGAAAATGCAGAAATAAAAACAAACAAACAAACAAACAGCTGAAGTTCTGGTATGCAGGTATAGGAAAGGGGGTACTGTTTCCCGGCAATAAGCTGCTTTAACCAGTAAACGTTGGCGCAAATAGACTCATGGAAGACGAAGGCATTGATGCAAATGTTGATATCAAAAGATAGGGGACCGGGTGGATTCTACTCCCTACCCTTTTAGGATTTAGAAAAACAGAGCCTCCTGGGCGGTCCAGAATAAGAGAAACCCTGTAATAGGGTATTGAAATTGCCATTTTCAATTAATTTCTTAAAAGTCTTTTCGATTGTGTTAAATCCCCTTTTGACACAATTTTCTTTTCAAGATTTATTGCGAGTCTGCGCGTTGGTCTTTGAAAAATATCACTAATCTCGACGAGGCAATCACTCCAGAGAGCTAGTTAGCTCTAGGCTCTGTCTCAATCATGACAATAGAGAATATGCCATAAATAAATTGTCTTAAAGCTTACCCTTTTTTGCATCTGGCTCTTGTTTTGCTATTACTGTTAGTGATTATATTCTCTATGTTTGGGGCATATAGTCCGGGGTGAGAAGGAAGTAAAAGGGAGAAAAGGAAGGCAATGACAAAAGAGAAAGAGAATAGCCCGGGTTCAAATTCAGTTTTCTTTAAATTATTAGACCCGGTACTGATAGTACTTTATTTGCATTGTGACTCTGCACCGTGACTCAAATATTGTTCAAATAGCATTGTAGAGACTGGAGACGATGAACAAATACGAATAATAAAAGAAGGTTGTTAGTCATGAGAATATTCTGTTCTTTGTCTCTTTGCTAAATAATCCAAACAAAAGAATCAACCAAGCGGAATCAACTGTTAAATAAATTGATTGTGAGTCCTGCAATATCAATTTGTTACTGCTTAATCGGGATAAATGGAAGTGATGTATATTATGGCTTACAAGACCCGCGTGTAAAACGAATGGGATTTTGGTGAATGAAAGAACACGACATGAAGCGTGCCGTGGCAAAAAGTGGCAGTCCAAACTAATATTACCATCCCGGGCGTCTAAAATCCCCCCTTTGATAGATTTTTAGTATCTGTTTTCGAGATAAACTGCATGTGGCCACCCAGACTACTCTCGCAACAGTTCAAGGAAAAAGGGGACGGAAAGGGGGCGAATTAAAAGTCCAAAAAATAACGCCTCAGCCGATACGTGATATAATTGGGCGGAAATTTAGCGAAATTCGTATATTTAGTTACCCTTGTTCAAATACGATTTACTCAAAATTTTCTGAGTACATAGACCGTATTATTTTGGTATCATTCAAAAGGGCATTTCATTGAGGTCAGTTTGACACCACTGTCATTTGCGCTGTCAATATACTGCAAGCATTTCACTGGCCGTAACGTAATCCATAGTAAATTCATCATTTTCGGCGATACATTTGCGATGTTTCATTGACGAAGGTATAAAGATCGCCATTTTAGAGCAAGTTAAATATATTTCACAATCTATATCTGGAATTTGAATGAATATCAGAAGTCTTTTTCTGAATTTATAGAAGTTCTTTTTCTGTTTTTTAATCCTTCATTTTCTCTCTCTTAATTTCTTCTCTTCTTTTAATGAAGAACATTCAGAATTCCAAACACTATTGAAATTGTTTCGGATTATTAATTTTCGGATTTAAACAGAATTAAGAAGCATCAATTTAACATGCCTGACATATTTTGATTTCGTTTTAGAAACAACTACCCAGGATAACGGGCCACCTCCACCACCTTGGTGGGGATGGAATACTGATCGTAAGTCTGCCTCTGTTTCGTCATTACTTTATTCCATACGGTCGCAATACCATAGATGCGATACAAATATGTCTTCTCTGCTTCCTTCTGTACCTAAATAAAATCCTTTGGTATCAGATTACTCTCCCCACCCCCCCCCCCCCAAAGTTGAGTTTAGATTCAGGGTATACATTTGTACTTCGTTCTAGCTAAACCAAAGATTGAAATGAAGACAAAATTAAATTGAACTGGATGTTACTGATTTAAATTTTGCCGAATCGATTCGAAGTGCAGCACATCTATTTCTGGAATTTATTTTAATATTTATTTTAAATAATGTTCTTCTTAAGTTGTGAAATTATAGTTGTTTTGTTGTTGTGTTTTAAGGGGCGTATTCTTCCTTTTTTCTCTCTCTATCTTCTTTTCGTTTCTTTTCTTATTTAAATTCTGAATTAAGAAGCATACCTGAAAATTCCTGACGTATTTTGATTTCGTTTTAGAACCAACTACTGAAGAAACTTGGACACCTCGACCAACTTGGTGGTGGTGGGGTACTACTCGTAAGTCCGTCTCTGTTTTGTCATTATTCGTTCCATGCAATCACAATAGGAGAAATAAATTCCTATACCAATTACCCGTTTACTACATCTGGGTGGAGAGTAGAAATGTCGATTAATGTCTTGCCAAAGGACAATATAGCAAAGGTGGAATCCAAACCGCGAACCATAAACTTTATTGCTCATGACGTGGAATATTTGACAGAAACAAAAAACCCGCAATTTGCAATAAATTAATATAAATTTATAAAATACAGGACTGTAGATCAGTAGATCATTTCAAGGCCAGTCTGAAAAACTTATCTAATGGCCAATGTTAATACTGATTGTAAGTCTGTCTCTATTTTGTCATTACTTCATCCTATACGGTCACAATATGTCTTATCTGCCTTCTTTTTCGGCAATACTTAATCCTTTGGTCTCAGAAGACTCTTTTTCCCAAAATAAAAGATTTATCTTCATGTTATACATGAATACTTCGATCTAGCTCAACCAAAGCTCGAAATGAAGTCAAACTGAAATGAATTGACAGAAAACTGATATTAATTTGATTTGTCCCTAATTAGTTTGAAATGCAACTGATCTATATCTGGAAGTTATTTTAATATCAAAAGTCTCTCCTGAAGTTATGGAAGTACTGTTTTTTCGGTGTTTTTTTTTTAGGGGAGGAGGTCCTTTTTTCGTTTTTTCTCTCTCTTCTCTTCTTTTCTTTTCTTATTTGAATTCTGAACACTATTAAATTGTTTTGGATCATCAATTTTCGGAAACCTGAAAATTCCAGACGCATTTTGATTTCGTTTTAGAACCAACTACTGAAGATACTTGGACGACTCAACCATATTGGTGGTGGTGGAGTACTGATCGTAAGTCTGTCTCTGTTTCATTTTTTCATCCTAAACTTTTACTATACCATGAAAGCAAATACAAATATGTTTTCTCTGCCTTTTTTTGCACCAATCCTCAATCCTTTGGTTTCAAATTACTCCTCTTTACCCAAAGAAGAAGTTCAGCTTCATTTTATTCATGAATACTTCGTTCTAGCTCAATCAAAGATCAAAATGAAGTCAAACTGAATTGAAGTGACAGATATAAATTTGATTTGTGTCCAATTGATTTGAATTGCAACTCAATACATTTCATTATGTGTAAAGTGTATTTGTATATCGAAAATAATATCGCTAGTGACATTCGTTTGTCTCGCAATGTATGGTCAACAAGGGATCTAAAAGATCACGACGTTTCGTGTGCCGCTACTACACTTCGTCAGGTGATACAATATATTGTAAGCAAGTGTGTTTCATATATTCTCTATGTATTTATATAGTTACCAAGAAAAAACATGAATTATGTACATACATTTTCCATACTTTCTGTAATAATATATGTTGCACATTTGTTTATCTTTCTGTTGGACATGAAATCAATTTGAATTGAATTGAATTTAATCTGTTTCTTGAAGTTATTTTAATATCAAAAGTCTTCTCCTTAAGTTATTGAATTATAGCTGTTTTTGTTGTTGTGTTTTAGGGGGTCATCTTCTTTCTTTTCTCTCTGTTCTCTTCGTTTCTTTTCTTTTTTGAATGATGAACCCTATTCTGAACATTATTAAATTGTTTTGAATCATCAATTTTCGTTTTGATAGAAAAAATCAAAAGTAATGAACAAACCTGAGGTATTTTAATTCGTTTTAGAACCAACTACTGAAGATACTTGGACGACTCAACCATATTGGTGGTGGTGGAGTACTGATCGTAAGTCTGTCTCTGTTTCATTTTTTCATCCTAAACGTTTACTATACCATGAAAGCAAATACAAATATGTTTTCTCTGCCTTTTTTTGCACCAATCCTCAATCCTTTGGTTTCAAATTACTCCTCTTTACCCAAAGAAGAAGTTCAGCTTCATTTTATTCATGAATACTTCGTTCTAGCTCAATCAAAGATCAAAATGAAGTCAAACTGAATTGAAGTGACAGATATAAATTTGATTTGTGTCCAATTGATTTGAAGTACAACTCAATACATTTCATTATGTGTAAAGTGTATTTGTATATCGAAAATAATATCGCTAGTGACATTCGTTTGTCTCGCATTGTACATGTATGATCAACAAGGGATCTAAAAGATCACGACGTTTCGTGTGCCGCTACTACACTTCGTCAGGGGATAAAATGTATTGTAAGCAAGTGTGTTTCATATATACTCTATGTATTTGTATAGTTACCAAGAAAAAATGAATTATGTACATACATTTTCATACTTTCTGTAATAATAAATGTTGTACCTTCGTCTATCTTTCTATTGGACATGAAATAAATATGAATTGAATTGAATCTGTTTCTGGAAGTTATTTTAATATCAAAAATCTTCTCATAAAATTATTGAATTATAGCTGTTTTTGTTGTGTTTTAGGGTGTCTTCTTCTTTCTTTTCTCTCTGTCCTCTTTGTTTCTTTGCTTTTTTTGAACGATGAACCTTCAGAATTCTAAACACTATTAAATTGTTTTGGATCATCAATTTTCGGTTATAAAAAAAAATAATAATTAAGAAGCATACCTGAAAATTCCTGACGTCTTTGATTTCGTTTTAGAACCAACTACTGAAGGTACTTGGACACCTCAACCAACTTGGTGGTGGTGGAGTACTACTCGTAAGTCCGTCTCTGTTTTGTCATTATTTCTTCCCATGCAATCACAATAGAAAAAAAAATCCTATACCAATTACCCATTTACTACATCTGCGTTTAGAGTAGAAATGTCGATTAATGTTTTGCCAGAGGACAATAGAGCCGCGGCGAAACTTTAACCGTGAACCATGTACAATGTGAGTCAAAAAAAAGTTTACACCTAGAAAATTGCTAATCATTTTAAAAATCATCTATGAACAGTAAATTAGTATACATAATATGAAAGAGTGTTTTATCCCTAATAATTTAGTATAATTTTGTGTGGTATGTGTCCACGCTTGGATGAACAGGAGGCATTGTTTGCGAGAGTGCAAAAATCAACTTGCGCCAAAGTTGCTTATGTGATGTTTGAATAAAACACTTTTATTTGGGTAATAATTCGGTCTTTGCAGATCCAAATAACATCCCTAACAGATTTTATCATGCCATACATATCAAATATCGATTATCAAACATCAAACAACATTTGTGCGCGCGTGTGTGTGTGTGACTTTGCTTCTGCAAAAAGCATAGCAATGCGTTTCATTCGATACATTCAATCGATTCTCTCACTCTGCTAATCTCACTGTAGGCATCACTCTGGCGCAAGACGATTTTTGCACTCTCGCAAACAATGCCTCCTGTTTATCCAAGCGTGAACACATTCCACACGAAAATGGTACCAAATGATTTGGGATAAAACGCTCTTTCATAAGATGTATAATAATTTACTGTTCATAGATGATTTTTAAAATAATTAGCAATTTTCTAGCTGTAAACTTTTTTTTTGACTCACACGGTATACACTAGACCGCGAATCATGAACTTTATTGCTCATGACGTGATATATTTGAAAGAAACAAAAAACACGCAATTAGCAATCAATTAATATAAATTTATAAAATACAGGACTGTAGATCAGTAGGCCAGTCTGAAAAAACTTATCTAATGGCCAACTTTAACTAATATCATCTTTTTTTACCGTGTATAATGTAATGAAAACATAATTGTATCTATAAGTATAGTTTATATGTAGCTCATTGTAAGCGCCTTGAGCATCCTCTTGGTGGATATATTGCGCATTATAAATGTCTTTATTATCATAAAGATTATGAACATAGAAAACTAGAGAAGAAAACTACAATGAGAACGAATTTTTTTTATTTCTATTGTACGCAAAAACAAAAATGTAATTAGTAACATTGATTTATCTATAAACTCTAATGCCAAAATACAAATTTAAAAAAATAAATAAAAAATTAAGAAGCATACCTGAAAATTCCTGACGTCTTTGATTTCGTTTTAGAACCAACTACTGAAGATACTTGGACACCTCAACCAACTTGGTGGTGGTGGAGTACTACTCGTAAGTCTGTCTCTGTTTTTGTCATTATTTCTTCCCATGCAATCACAACAGAAGAAATACATTCCTATACCAATTACCCGTTTACTACATCTGGGTGGAGAGTAGAAATGTCGATTAATGTCTTGCCAAAGGACAATAGAGCCGCGGCGGGACTTGAACCATGAACCATGTAATCCATAGTCTGGTGATATATACACTAGACCACGATTCATGAACTGTATTGCTCTTGACGTGGAATATTTGAATGAAAAGGAAAACACGCAATTCGCAATCAATTAATATATCGATCGAATTATCGACCGTTGCGCTGGTCCTCCCGTAAAGTATAAAACACGTTTGCTTACATTAATTTTTATCACCAGACGAAGTGTTGCAGCAGCGCACGAAACGTCGTGATCTTTTAAATCCCTTATTGACCACATTGCGAGACAAACAAATATCTCTGGCGATATTATTTTCGATACTACACCCGCAATGAGTAATATAGCATTAATGAATATATATTTTTAAAATACATGAAAATAGAAAACTAGTGAGGAAAACTACAATGACGACAAACAATTTTTCCATTTGTATTTCCCGCAAACCTAAAAATGTATTTAGTAACCTTGAATGAACTATTAACTTTAATGCCAAAATAAATGTATTTGATTTTTATCTGAAAGTTTTCAGAAAGTTGAAATTATGTGTTCTAGGCGTTTTACGGAATGAGAACTTTTTTTAGTATAAGGTTCCAAGGTTACTGAAACATAACAAATTATCTAGAACAGAAATTAATGATAATATCGGTTCCTATATCGTTTCAACTTTGTGTATCTTTTGTATTTCAGTAAACGGATCATATTAGTATGACCTTTTCTCTTCTTTAAAGGTTTGTCATGATTGGTATCAAATCCTGATGTTGAAATCATGTGATTTCAATTGGAAATAACAAATACGTGTTTAATACGTTTTTGATTATCATATTTTAGAACCAACCACCGATGGCACTGATGTTCCAACAGGGGGGTGGTGGGACACAACAACAACAAACATGTCTGTTGAAGGAGGTACGTATGCAGGCGCGGATCCAGGATTTCTTAGGGTAGTGAGCACATTTTTTTTTTTTTTGATCCTCAAAAAAGTTCCAATTTGCACCCCCCCCCCCTTGAGCGCCAGGGGGGGGGGGGGGGGGGCCCAACCCCCAAAAAAGGTAAAAATCACGTGATTTTACATGATTTTTTTTTCTCAAGGGGGGGGGGGCCGGGTCCCCCGGCCCCCCCCCCCCCTGGATCCGCCACTGTACGTATATCTGGTACATTCTTCATGATTTGATCAATCTCAAAATTGAAGGGGGTAAATGTGCATAGTCGGAACTTACACTCGCTCAACACGTTGAGAAAAGGTGGCTAAAAAAGAGTGATTTTATAGCAGCTGCTCTTTTTTAGTTATTTTTTATTTATATATTTAGATATGAATGTGCTTATCATGAGGGTGTTTACTCACACTGTAAAATGAACTACCGGTTTAAAATGGTTCTGACTGACACCTTACAGGAGCCGCTGGTGTAACGAGCTCTGGAACGTTTGAATAGTAAGAACGTTTCCCCCAAATGGTTGTAAGTCCCATATGTTAGGACTGCTCCTACGTCTACTTCCAGGACCAATCGTGCCAGTTGTCCTAAGTCCCACTGGCCTCCGTCCCAATACAGGACCATTCTTTCCAATGGTCTAAACTCCAAAGGTCCAATGTCTTATGTCCTATGTCCCGTTGGCTCTATGTCACATTGGTCCTGTATATCATTGCTCCTACACCTCATCAGTCCTAGGCCCAGTTGCTCCCATGTTCCATTGATTCCACGTCCCATTGATCCTATGTTTCATTGGCCAGCGTCTTAAAGATTAAGTTGAGTTCTGTTCATGCGATTGCATTGTGAAAGAAACGTTGTGCAATCGAACAGAAAAGGTTGAACATCTAGCATATAAGTATTGGGGTATACTGCAAAATTATAAGAAGTTTGGCTCAGTCTTGGTAAAGTTACAAGCACTGTACACAGAAAGATTTATATGGAACTACACGAACATGTGGCATAAAAATCTGTCCCGATTGTTATGATGTTACATGCCATATTTATAATATTAGGGCATTTGAAGAGCCATGCATGCTTTATTGCAGGGAACATTTTTTTTTATCTGATATTCTTCCGCACTTGCAATGACGCTCACAAATTATTTTTTGCCTTTTCCCACACTGCAAAAACAAGGGTGTTAAATTCAACACCATGGGTGTTAATTTTAACACTTTCCCGGTACCTTTATCGGAAAACACCAGCTGGTGTTATTTAACACCAGGGTTTGGAATTAAACGATTCAATTCCACTATTGGTGTTAACATTTGACAACTCCTACTGGTGTAGATTAACATCAATATCTGGAATCATAACACATTATATTCCACTTTTGGTGTTTATATTCTTGTTGATCCATTATAGATTTTTCTATAGGCTTCTAATGGTCCCACATTCCATATTCCCTATTATCGACAATTATCGACCAGGGTAGAAGAACCAGTGGTAAACTGATAATTCATAATCGATGTTGACAACTGTCCACCAATAGGTATATTCTAATCTCCATTGCATTAACTCCATCACATATATCATTTGAAGTAAATTCAAGATTAACATTTAAGTGATACAGGCTGGTACACGAATATATAATAAACATGCATGTTGTTTCTTGGTTAGTAATCATATAATCAATATATCTATTGCTAAAACGTTAATGTAATTGTAACAAGATCAGACAAATAATCTATTGGTCAATAATTGCCAAATAAATATACAAATCACAAAATTGATGTTCATTGTCATAATTTGCTTAACAAATCATGATAAATTTATTTTTCTGTGAACACGTGTAAAGTAATCATTAAGCGCGCGTACACTTTGTGAAAGCTTATTCGACCAAACAACCGCCTCAAACGAAATCACGTGATGATACTTTCAACACCGAGCATAAAACTACACCATGTTACTTAACACCCAGTAATTATCAATGCATGCTTAAATCTGACCGGTGTTAAAAAATAACACCACTGAGACAACACATCTTTATAATCAACACCAATGATGTCAAAAAGATTTCTACACCCTGGTTTTTACAGTGCAGAACTCGAGCTTCTTATTGTTCTTTCGACCAAGTAGAATGCAGGGCCGATCTAATTACATAAATAGTGACTCAAAGTATGTAGGCTATCGTTATTTGCTTTAGGCTAATACTGAAATCATTGTGTAAAATTCCTAGAAAATGAAATCCTGTTAGTAGGCCACCTTGTGAACTACCCTAATCGGTAGTCAACAGTTGATAGGGTGAACTTTAATATTTTGTCATAATTGATAATTTGACTTTCTTACAGAAGAAAATGTGACTCTCTATGTTGGGGTTACCCCGACAATCTCGTCTCCAAACTATCCTTCAAATTACCCGAACAACGTGCGCTATCATTGGTTTATCACGGCTCCTTCAGGCTACGATGTTCTTGTTCAGTTTCTGGATTTCGATCTTGAATCGAATTATGATTATCTTACAATCGGGATTGGAGAATCGCCATCGTCTCCTGGAAGTGTTCAGCTGGCTCAGCTGTCAGGTTCTTCTTTGCCATCAGAAACGAGGTCCGTATGAAGTGATGACAAATTATGTACGCTATATAAGTCGCATATCATATAAGATGCAAGTCATATATCGTGTATGATATCTGCTTTCATTTTTTAAAATGATTTGTGCCTTTTAGAGACAAATTGACACGTCTACAGTACAGCTCCTTTCCAATGATTTTAGACACTTTGACAAAAATCGAATAACATGATATATGTGACCTTGTTGAAGACAGAGTTACTTTCGTTGTGATAATTAAGATGCACATAAAATAATTTTAATTTAAAAAAAAAAATCAAAAAAAAAATTCCTTCTCCCCCCCCCCCCGGCTCAAAAGAGCCAGGGGATAATAAACATACAGTGACGTTTGGTTAATGACCATATTTATTCTACTGACCATTTACCGACCTTTCAGACTAAAAGGTTCGATATCGGCAGCTAACGACTCAGACAAGCATTCCTACCTATGTTAGTTGGCCTCTACTTTTATCTTAATTCTTTGATTTATCTGCATACTTTCACGTTTTCAATTATTTCTATGTATTTTTTTCGTGTGTATTCCAGTAGTATAAATTTAATGTAAATCTTAATTGTATAAAATAACGTTATTGTTGTTTGAATATTTTGCATTTGATGTTTTAATTAATGCAGAAAAATCTGCTAAAGATATCAATAATAGGTGAATTTGCAAAAAAATACTAAGTTAAAAAAAGGAAGGAAAAAACCTTCACTTCTTAATATTAAATGTCCCTTTTTTCTATAACCCTGCATTTCTCATTAAGATTCTTGATGTTTTGACTCTTTTAGATTAAACTCCTCCGAAAGTTGGATGCGGTTCACCACTGATCATTCAGTCACTAAAAGAGGATTTCAGCTCCAACTGAGACTTATTACTTCATCTACAGGTCTGAATAAATTATACATTACCCGTACCGTTGGAAAACCAAAAATTTAGAAAGTTTAGAAACGTTGACATTATGTAGTCTATATGCGTTTTACGGAATGACAACTTTTTGTAGTATTAGTTTCCAAGGGTACTAAAACATAACAAATTATGTAGAACAGAAATTAATGATAATATTGGTTCCTATATCGTTTCATGTTTGTGTATCTTTTGTATTTCAGCAAACGGAACATATGAGTATGACCTTTTCTCTTCATTGAAGGTTTGTCATGATTGGTATCAAATCCTGATGTTGAAATCATGTGATTTGAGTTGGAAATAACAAATACGTGTTTAATATGTTTTTAATTGTCATACTTCAGAACCAACCACCGATGGCCCTGATGTTACAACAGGGGGGTGGTGGGACACAACAACAGGCATGCCTGTTGAAGGAGGCACGTATGTCTTGTAAATTCTTTATGATTAGATCCATCTCAAGATGAAAGGGGGTAAATGTGCATATTCGTAACTAACACTCGCTCAACACATTGAGAAAAAGCGTCTCCGAGGAAGATTGAATTTTTAGCAGGTGCTCTTTTTTAGGTATTTTGTATTTATATATTTAGATAAAAATCTGGTTATCATGAGGGAGTTTACTCACACTGTAAAATGTACTACTAGTTTCAAGAGGTGCTGACTGACACCTTACAGAAGCAGCTGGTGTAACGAGCTCTGGAACGTTGGAATGGTACGAACGTTTCCCCCAAATGGTTGTAAGTCCCATATCTCGCACTGCTCCTACATCTACTTCCAGGACCAATCGTGCCAGTGGTCCAAACTCCCGACGGTCCAATGTCTTATGTCCTATGTCCCTTTGGCTCTATGTCACATTGGTCCTGTATCTCATTGCCCTACACCTCACCAGTCCTAGACCTAGTTGCTCCAATGTTCTATTGATCCCACGTCTCATTGATCCCACGTTCCATTGGTCCAGCACAGGGGCGGCCGAGCGACTTCCAAAGGGGGGGGGGGGCACCAACAAAAAAGGGCACTTTCTGGAAAAAGGGCACCTACAGTGGGAAATCTCAAAGCGAAAATATACAATTTTTTAGACATTGGTATATACCCCTACATTGTGATTACATTATCAGGGATGATTTCAATATTTGTTTCTCTTCATACATCATACAAGATATCGCTTAAGCATCATACTTTACAGTTGGGTGTGATGTCTGAATATGCATTTACGAGCGAGCGAAGCGAGCGAGAAAAATCTGTGAGGTCGCAGTGTGAAAAATTACATTTTATAGAGAGGAAAAAAGCCAATCGTGATGGGGTTATAAGTACATTCTCATAACGGAAGACTGAAAAGACCTTTGATAAGTAACATAATTATATCATCTTTAAATGCGAGCGAGCGCAGCGAGCGAAGTTTGGGGGAAATTGCTCTTAGTCGCTTTAAATAAAGGGCACGTTTAATGATTACATGAAAAGGCGACAATTATCGAAAGGGATAAGACACTTATTAGAAAAGAAAAGGAGCACGTGTCAAAGTACAAAGGATAATTATAAGGGTGAAAATGAGGCATTTTTTCACCTGAAAAGAGGCACTCACCAGTGATGAAAAAGAGGCGTTTACGAAAATGGGAAATAGGCATTTGTTGACGGAAAAGGGACACCCATCAGATTTTGATAGGGGCATTTATAAGAGGTGAAAAGGGGATAGGTCCCTTATTAGAAAGGAAAAGGGGCACGTATCATTATCAAAAGGGGAATTATCAGAGTTGAAAGGGGCACTGACCAGATATGAAAAGGGGCACTTATGAAAATGTAAAAGGGGCACTTATAATAAAGGAAAATGTGCATTTGGTGAATGAAAAGGGGGCACTGTTCAGATTTTTAAAAGGGGCAGTTATGAGAAGGGGAAGGAGCTCTTTCTTTTTAATGGGGGCACTTATCATAAGGAAAAGGGACAATTATTAGAAAGGGAAAGGGGTAGTTGTGAGAAGGGGAAGGAGCTCTCTCTTTTTAATGGGGGCACTTATCATAAGGAAAACGGGCACTTATTCGAAAATAAGAGGGGCACATGTTAAAATGAAAGGTGCGCTCATCCGAGTTTAAAAAAGGGGTAGTTATTAAAAGGAGAAGGGGCACTTCTTACAAAGGAAAAAAGGGGAAGTTGTCAAAGTAAAAGGAGCACCTCTCAGTTTTGAATAAGGCAATAATCAGAGGTGAAGGGGCACTTATTAAAAGTGAAAAGGGGCACTTCTCGTACCTGAAAAGAGGCACTTACTAGAGATTAAAAAGGGCACTTATTCAAGATAATTTCAAGATTGATGAGAATGGAAAATGGACACTTATTGCAAAGGAAAATGGGAACATGTCGAAGGAAAAAGGGCACTCGTCAGAGGTGAAAAGAGGGAAGGGGCACTTTTACTAAGTAATAGGGGCACTTGTTAAAGTAAAAGGGGCACCTTTCCTATGTAAAAGGGGCACTTCTTACAAAATAAAAGGGGCACTTTTCCTATCTAAAAAGGGGCACTTTTGGGGTATCTGAAAAAGTGGGGGGGGGCACTGTACCCCCCTGCCCCCCCCCCCCCCCCCCGGAGGGCCGCCTCTGGTCCAGCATATTAAATGTCATATATCATATTTTTCTTTTGACCAAGTAGAATTCAGGGCCGATCTAATAACATAAACAGTGACTTAAAGTATAGGCTATCGTTCTAAAGCATAGTACTGAAATCAATGTGTAAAATTCATACAAAATGAAATCCGGATAGTACCTTATCACTGAAAGAGGATTGCAGCTCCAACTGAGTCCTATCAATTAAACTACAGGTCTAAATAAATTATACATTACATGTAGCGTTGGAAATCCAAAAAATTGGAAAGTTTGGATATCCAGTGTTTATTTGCATGCTCTCATTTGAAATTCTTCGATAAAATTAATGCGCTTAAAGTGATATGCTTACAAACGTTGCAAATTTGGATTCGCCAACTTTTCTGCATTTAGCTGCATTTTTGGACATTTAGCGAGTCTTAGCGATGTTTAGCGACAATTAGATAAGCAACTTATACCAATCCTTTGCCACTTTTTGTGAATGTTTGGGACCTATTGCTAACTGCTGGTAATCAATGGGTCGAATTTATTTAGGAACCATACGATAACGTGGTCGCTAGCATTGGCGAATTAAAAAGAACTCCAACGACACCATTTGTTACAACCGTTTGAAAAGGCTTACGACTGTTTTGCGAACGCTTACGACTGTTTTGGAAACGCTTGCAACTGTTTGCGGAAAATAAATTCGCAACAATATTTCTTTGCGACAAGAAAAACTGTTTGCGACAATGAAAAATGTGTGTGAACTTTCTTGCAACCTTTTACGAACCCTTGCGAAATCCCAAATAAACGTTCGCAAGCATTCGCCGCTCAGTGAGATACACCCTTTAGTCAAATTTCACTTTACACTCACTCCCTTATTCAGATCTATTGATAATAAAACCACAATCAGCCATCATTGAAAATCAACGGATTTTCTCTTTTTTTAAGCATATGCTAATGATCGAAGCGTGGATCTTTAACGTTTCATTAAATCATTAGAGAAAGTAGATGAATCGTATTACCATTCTCGACTCTTGATTCTTGTCTGAATTCGGTCCCCCCCCCCCTCCCCCCACTCCTGCCCGAAGGGCTGGAGCCTTTACGTTTCATTAAATTATTAGAGAAAGAAGACGATTCGTAATAAAATTCTCGACTCTTAATCCTTGTCTGAATTCGGTCCCACCCACTGCTGCGCGAAGCGCGGAAGCTTTGACGTTTCATTAAAATTATTAAAGAAAGAAGACGATTCGTTGTACCGTTCTCGACTCTTAATCCTTGTCTGAATTTCAAAAAAAAAAATTTGGTCTGCTCCTTTTTCTTCCTACGTCCTCTTCTTTTCCTCTCCTCTCTCTTTTTGTTGGCCGGTGATTTTTTTTTTCGGGGGGCGCCCCCACCGCCCCCATGGCTACGCGTCTGCGGTCAGATGAACATATTTTGATACCTTGTCCGCTCCTGGAAACTCAGGGGATTAAGGCAATAAATTACGGTCAGATAAGCATTCAGGGGCCAGCCTTAGGGGCCCTGGTGGGGTCGAGGGTGCAGAAACCCCGAAATCTCAGGGGTTTTAGGCATTTGATTACGGTCAGATGAACATTTTTTGATACCTTATTTTGTTGTGACACTGGCAGTTAACTATTCTTTCTTTCTTGCTCTTTTTCTATCTATTTCTCTTTAATATACTTTGTCAAAAAAGTAGGGGGAGGGAGCTGGAAGCTCCCGACCCCCCCCCCCCCCCCCGTTCCGCGAGCCCTGACATGTAGGCATCTCAAGAAGCTAGCTGTAAATTTAGGAATTTGTCATTTTATAACAAGCGCATAAAAATCAATAATTTACGAAAAAATGAGGAAAAATCTCGGAAAATTATGTAATTTCAGCATTTTGTTCAAACCACCGTAACGGTTATGGAATCTGAAATAAGCCCCCTCCTCGATCAGTACGCCATTGCCCCCCCCCCTGATCTACACTTTGTTGGCGGAAAATTGCAACTGATCTCCCCTACCTTCCTTCTTTCTCTTTGTTTTGTCTTTCTCTCTCTCTCCACATTTTTTTTTTTTGTGCCCGGACAATGGAAAAATTACGTCGTCAGATATTTCGTTCAGTGGCTTGGGGGGGGGGGGGGGGTGGGGGGAGAGAACACCTTTTTCACCAACAAAAAAAAGTTGTTTCCCCTTTTTTTCCATCTTTTTTGTCCCCAGGGGAACCCCCCCCCCCCCCTGGATCCGCCACTGCCCACACACACACACACACACAAAACAAAAAACATATCGTAGAATGCTTTAAGAGGCATTATCAGTTTTTTAAATAATATACCAGATTTGAGTAGTTAGATATATACAGTTTCAATTCATAAGCTCATATGTGCAGTTCATCGACTGGAACACTTGAGGAAATTGCAACAAGGTTATGATATATCAACTATCTATCATTTGAAAACGTAATCACATATACTGCCTGAATGTCCCCTACTTGTAAATTATTGGTAGACAGGTCAAATGGCTTAGTGAAAAAATAAAAAGAGTACGGAAAATTGCATTTTCATGTTGCGAATATATAATTAGCTGCTAATTAGCTGATTTGCATATAAAATGACAAATTGGTAATATTTGGTGCAGATACAACATGGTCTCTGAAGGAAACATTCCTGTAAAGTTTCAGCTAAAAAGAACATTGACAAAGTCCTGATATTATGTATGCTCATATTAATTAGCTGCTCTAGCTTAGTCATTTTTGGACATTTTTGCAACTACAGATGTGTAAAGTTGAACAAATTTGCATTGTAGACAACTCTGTGTGTTAAAACACAACAAATCTGCTCATTGATACTGAATTTACTGTGAAGTACCATAATCTTCTTTCTGAAAAATAAAATATTTGGCTTTGCAATACTTTCAATATATTCAATGAGATCTTTCATTCAAAATTAAACTTGTGCGATGTATTTTTTTTTCTGGGGTGCTCTACCTAGGAGTAGATCGGAATATTAAGGGACAGGGTCAAAACTGAAACGTGCAAAATATACCTTTAAGCACTTGTATTGTTATGCACTGCACTGTACATCAGCCCTACACTCTTCACCAGTAATCCACTTTTATAACTCAACTAAAGACATACATATTTCAGGTTGCGTACAATTAGTCACTGTTTTTTTGTCTTTCCCAGTTAGAATCATGAACAGATATTTTTGGTAGTTTTTCAGTCTCATCAGCGCCTTTGATTAGGCAGCTTGATATTGGCGCTTTATAAATTCCTGGATTGGAAAGAAAGAAGAATACACAGGCGAAAAGTAAAGTGCATTTTTCAACTTTTCACTTTTACCTTGCTCTTTATTTGTCTGTTGTGCGCTTTACATGACACTTTTGAAAGAGAATAAGATTACAGATAAAGCGAACACGGGTATCTAGAAATTAAAATGCTTACCAAAGGACACTAGCGCGTGGATTTGGCTTTAGAAGGTTTTAAATCGATCTGAAATTAGAACTATGTGTTTACCCCAACTTTTAATTTGATTTGAAATATTGGTGTTTTTTCATCTTCTTTTAAATATGAACTTTTAAAAAAGCGTATACGTATAGACCTGACACAGGTTCTTCAAAACTTCTATATAGAAAGTTTATCATTAAACAATTACATTGAATGAATAATGAACACGAGGGCAACAGCGTAACCAGTAAACTTAATTTTTAGCAAGTACAACAAATAACTTTTTAACAAATCTCTTCTATTCTAGGTGACTTTTGCCAAGGATGCTGTGAATGTGGTTCCATGGGAGGGTGCTTTTGCGATTCTGTCTGCCAGTCCCAGGGTGACTGCTGTCATGACTATGTTCAATTCTGCCCCAATGGTGCGTATCCATTCCGATTGATGTATGCGCGTTCCAAACTATTCACATTCAAATGTATATTTTAATAATGAAAATATTAATACAATTATCACTTTATACTGATGTTTGTGAGTGCTGTAAAATAGTCCCGATTTTAGCAGAGCTGCTTGTGGCATTCAAATAATGTCTTACCTACCGGGTAATCATGTGGAGTACATGATTACCTGGTCAGAATAGATTATGGTTTAGAGGGGCAAAAACAGATAAATGTTTTGCCCAAGAACATCAGGGATTTGAACACCATACCTTGTCATCCATAGTCTGGAGGTATATCCGCTAGAACACGACATCTTTAAGCACGATTACTTATTTCTTTGTAGCTGCGGGAGCCCGTTAGAACGTAGGTCTACGATGCCGAGAAGTTCGATTTCAAAAACCATCGGACTCAAGTGACCGTTTACTTTTGGAAATTCTCCAAATAGTTAATTGTAGGAAAGTCCAAAATGTAACACGACCATTTTACAATTATGAAGAAGAAAACAAAATAGAAAAAGTCTCATTTGTTTCACGTTCTACTCTGAATGGTCTATTGAACTTGGTATATCTTCCAAAAGAAAACTTTAAGGGAGATGGCGGTCAGAAATGCCCTTTTAGGGACGCCCCTTTTAGCAGATATTAAAGGTACTAAAGACCAGTTTTTGAAACCCCCCCCCCCCTCTCAAAAAATTAAATATAATCTCTCATTATCAATCATGTTTTGTGAAAGAATATGTTTTGACTAATATGTGATGATAAAAAATTTGCCGGGAAACCGCCTACTAATTCGTCCTTGTTTTCACGAAGTGACGGTAGTGAAAAATCGTAACGCAAAGTGAATGCAATCACTACCGTCACTTCGTGAAAACAGCGACGAATTGATGTATTTGGTATTAAATTATCATATCTACCGGCCTGGATAGATATCGCGTAGTCCCATTTACATCTTTATGTGTATAAAAGTGCTTGTAAATTTACCAAGACTGGGCCAAATTTCTTATTATTTTGATGATTCTAGAACCTTGCAGTACACACCAATACTTTTATGCTAGATGATCAACCACCCCCCCCCCCACTCCGGGGTCGGAATGACCGCATGCGTGTTACCAAAATGTCCGGTAAAGGGGTACTTTTCACGCACCAAAGTCCGGCTCGTACATACACAAAATTTACTTTACACACCGGACTTATGGGGGGCCGGGTGTTCAACCTTTTCTGATCGATTCCACAACGTAGTTTCAGTGTATGCAATCGCATGACCAGAACTGGGATATCAAGCCCAATATATAGTAAGACATCGTTCGTCAACACTAATCACAAGCGAACGATTTGATTCTGTGTAGATCATCAAGTAGAAATTAAGTTTGGAAATTTGTAAGGATGAATGCTTTTATTGCGCTTAAAGAGAGTGTATCATACCCAGGCGCGTACGCAGGATTTTTTCAAGGGGGGGGGGGTTTAACATTTATAAATCGGGCCGAAAATTTCGTAACGCCTCAGCCAGCCGCTGAATAAGCGGGGGGGGGGGGGGGGTAAGAGGGTCACTTTTTTTTTTTTTTTTGTCCCAAAAAAATCGCAACGACTCAGCCGACCGCTGAATAAGCGGGGGGGGGGGGGGGGGGGGGGGGAGGACACTTTTTTTTTTTTTTTTGGTTTAGAAATTTGAAAATTTGACATTTTGCTCCGTTAGGGGGGGGGGTCAACCATAAGAATTTTTTTTTTTTTTTTTTTTTTTTAATAAAAAAAAAAAAAAAAAAATCCAAAAGGGGGGGGGGGGGGTTTAGAGAAATTTAGGGGGGGGGGGGGTTTACACACACAAAATTAACAAAGGGGGTGTTTAACCCCCCCCCCCCCCCCCCCTGTGTACGCGCCTGATCATACCATCTACTTTTTTTTTGGACGACAGTTTTACTGCACGTAGTTCGGCGAATGGAATTGATTAACCGGGTCAGCGCGCTCGCGTTCGCGAAACAGACCGAAGTTCTCCTCACGCTTCGGTTTCACATGTTGCACGCACGTGAAGGCTGCGGTCGCGTCGTCCGTAGGCCGATTGGCCCCGGGTAGCGTTATTTTCTTCTGCGGCACAGATTTGGGCTTTTTTTTTAAGGGGTTTTGATTAAACCCTAACCCTAAAATTTCCCTTATGCTCAACACGCACCTTAACCCAATCTGTGCCGCCGAAAAAAACAACGCCCCCTGGTAGGGCCACGGGAAAGACACAAGGTCTCGTCATGATACTCTCCCTTTAACCTGCGAAGTTATCGTGACAGGTAACCATACTGAAGTATTCTTCGATTTAAAAAAAATAGCGGTAAACGTTGATTCCATGTCTTCCATGAAACTTGTGTTTCCAAACTTTTTTGAGGGTTTTAAATTAAGAAGTCTATTGTTTAAACAAATGTTTCGCCTGCTGCCTGTTAAACTCATATATTAACTTCATATATTTGGTTATATTGAATGCCGGAACGTACAGTATTTGTTTAACATTAGTGCATCTCAGTAATTAGAATGCGAAGTATTTGCCACTCTCCAGAGCTTTAAGAGCTTTAGGGCAGCTGGGCAGTAACAGTACTTTGCAGACACACATTTTGCACACCTCGGTTTGGATACGAGCGCGGTATAAATGGAGCTAGTAGTAGAAGAAGTATTAGGCCTAGTAGTACATGGACTCTTAATATACTAGTATATCAATTCGTCGACATCGTTTTCCAGATTGAAATATCGAACCCTTTAAAAAAAATCATTATACATCATGTACATGCATGTCAATCTATGATTTGATTAAGGGCTTTTTCATGCTCTGTAAGAACAGATAACACCCAAATCTATGTCTTGTGAATACTTTTCAGCAACTACAACCGAAAGTACTACTACAGGATGGACAAGTTACCCAGGTATAATACCGGCACTGTCACCCATAAAGTTTGAATAATTTTGTTTAAACTCTTTTCATGAAATGATTGTGCCACTATGATTTATTCATCATATATAGAGTTGATATATTTGCAGACACTTATTGATTAACTTCTTGCAACAAATTATATTTAAAATCAAACGACAGTTAACATTATACAGACTCTATATTTTGGTTTAAACAACATTGGATTTAGAGGCCCAAAGCAATACTGTCTTGTTTCGAATTTCCCACCTTGGTCATTAAACGAAAACACATATTTTTAGAGGAGATTTGACTCATGAAAATGTCTCATATCGAACTTACAAGAGTCATTCAGTCATTGATGTCGATGACTATCGAGTATGCTGGCCTTCCCTGACACGGATCAGTGAGTTCAGACGTCCTGGCATATTGTCCACAAGCTTGTTGATGATGTAAAAGGAGAAGGTTGTTGTAGTATCTTACTATGACTCTCAATTAAGAACTACTCTTGGAAACAGTGGGTTTGTTAACACTGAAGAAGTTATATTCTGATTTGTCTCGCGCTGCTTACATTCAGCCTTTCTGCTCATTCGAGTCCTCTCACATTGTTTTTGTTCTAGCCAAGAGGTGGCGCTGCACCTCTTACATCTTTCCCTTCATTTTACTTTTTTTTTTCTTTTTTTTTTTCTTTCAAATGAAAATCATGTAAACGCAAGTCCAAAAAAATAAAGTTTAAAATGTTAGACTTGAGGTTTCAAATCCAAATACTGCAAACAATATGCATAAATATCAGATGAAAAAAGTTGTGACAAAAGGGTTCCAAAAACCGGTTATAGTGATTTGCAAATTGAGCATATAATGAACAAGAATAGTTCAACTGTCCAAGTATGAGAATAATAAGCCTTAAAGGTCAAATGTCCAGGAGTTCGGTATAATGAACGAAATGTCCCAGAGTCCTTTATACCTCGTTCACAGTCTTGTCCAGCAATTCAGTCTATTGTTCATATTTAAGCTGTAGATCCAAAGTTGTTTGTTTCTCGAACACCTTCAAACTGAGTTCCTACTTCACAAAATCTTGGAGATAGGTTGGTGGACGAATATTGCGACCATATCTGCTTTTGTCTTCACTCCTCACTTGTGTTGTAATTTGGGCATCACCACTGCTTGTGGGTGGCTGTATCTGCGTACTTGGTTCAATTATCATCTCATCATCAGGCTCACGGCGACTCCAGGTTTCAGTCAGTTGGCGAAGATGTCTCCTATTTCTACGATAAGTAGCTCCGTCCTCTGTCATCACCACATATGAGTGTGGCTCTGGTGCCGAACGAAGGACCTTTGCTCTTCGCCACTCCTTTTGCCTATTATGTGGTTGGATGCGTACAACGTCACCTGGATTCAATGAGGCCATTTCTTTAGCTGACCGGTTGTAGTGTTGTGCTTGCTGCTCTTTGGTCCTCTTCCTCTGTTCTTCCAGCCCGGGGGGCACCTCGCATGTTAGTAGCTTTGAGGTAGTTGGTAGTGTAGTTCGGGTTCTTCTATTCATTAGTCGTTGCACTGGACTGGAAGTAAACCCGGGTGTTGGCGTATTTCTATAGGCCAACAAACTCAGATATGGGTGTGTGTGTCCTTCTTTTGCCTTCGTGAGAAGTGCTTTGGCGGTCTTCACAGCATTTTCCACTTTACCATTTGCCTGAGGATAAAGGGGAGATGTTGTTGTGTGCTTGAAGTCCCACGTGGCCCCAAACCTGGCAAATTCGTCAGATGCAAACTGTGGGCCATTATCTGTTATCACTTCCACTGGAATTCCATGTCGGGCAAATTGGGCTTTCATTTTGTGTATCACAGCAGCTGAATTTGTAGTTGTCAGAGAGTCTACCTCTATGAAGTTGGAATAGTAGTCTGTTATCACCAGGTAGTTGCGGGAATCAAGGACAAACAGATCTGCCCCTACTTTTGCCCAAGGTCTGTCTGGCACCTCATGCTGCTGTAAAGGCTCCTTCTGCTGTCTTGTACCCATGGCTCTACACACATCACATCTCTGTATGTAATTCTTCACTTCACTGTTCATATTGGGCCAATAGAGGCATTCTCGAGCTCTCTTTAAACAGCTGCTTTCTCCAAGATGAGATGAATGTAGTCGTTCGATCATGCCCTTCCTCATGCTATTTGGTATCACGACTCTTTCACCTCTGAAGATAAGACCATCCGAGATGCTTAGTTCATCCCTTATGTGAAAGTATGGTCTGACATCTGATGGGAGATCTTGTTGCCTTCTGGGCCATCCATTCATTACTGTTGCACGTAGCTCTTGCATCACCTCATTCTCTGCTGTGCATTGCTTTAGCTTTTCCAACAATGGTTTTGCAATTGGCAGGTGGTCCAACAGGTTGACTTGTTCCATCTCTACTCGTCTTCCATCCTCCTCCATTGAAGGTAGATAAGCTCGGCTAAGCGTATCAGCAATGTACATCTTGCTGCCCGGATGATAGATGATATCAGCATCATACGTTTGCAAGCGAAGAATGGGTCTCTGGAGTCTTTTGGGAGCTTGATGCATGTTTTTCTTTGTGATGATCTCCAGTGGTTTGTGATCACTTTGAACAATCACCTTCCTACCGTAGGTGTACTGATGGAATCTTTCTAGTCCAAAGGTAACTGCAAGTAACTCCTTCTCTATTTGGGCATAGCGTGTCTCTGCCTCAGTCAGGGCCCTACTTGTGTAAGCGATTGGCTGACCCGCCTGCATGATTGCAGCTCCTAGGCCTTTTTCAGAGGCGTCTGCTTGCAGAACAAGCTCTGTGTCCTTGTCAAAATACCTCAGTACTGGTTCTGAAGTTACTGCCTTCTTGATTCTCTTGATTGCATTATCATGCACATCCAGCCAGCACCATTCTACATCTTTCTTGGTCAGAGACCGTAGTGGTTCGCACATCTCACTCAGGTTTGGAAGGAACTTGCTCAGGTAATTAACGAATCCAAGAAATCGTTGTACTCCAGCAGCATATGAAGGATTTTGCATGTCTCTCACCGCCTTTATTTTTGCTGGGTCCGGTTTCAATCCTTCTTCAGTGATCAGGTGACCCATGAAGGACACTTCCTTCATTTTGAACTTCAACTTTTGTTTGTTGAGTTTCAGATTTTTCTCCCTGCATCTTTCTCACAGCTCTCTGTCATGGTCTATCTCAGCTTCTGTCACTGTTTCACCCTCACCATACACTAGTATGTCATCTGCTATTGTGCTCACTCCTTGCAGACCTTCCAGTGCTTCATCTAGCCTACGCTGACACTCTTCTGGTGCTGAGGCAATACCAAAGGGCAGCCTCTTCCATCTGTAGCGGCCGAATGGGGTATTGAATGTTGTCAGGTATGAGCTGTCTTCCTCAAGTTCTACATGCCAGAACCCATTCTTTGCATCAACTACTGAAAACACCTTTGCCTTAGTCAGATCTGGCAGAATATCCTCAATTATCTTCATTGGGTAGTGGTTCCTTCTGACAGCTTTGTTCAGGTCTTGTGGGTCTAGACAAATCCTCAATTTGTTGTTTGCTTTGTTGACACACACAAGACTTGAGACCCATTCGGTTGGTGTATCAACTGGAGCAACAATATCTGCTTCTACCAGCTTCTCCAGTTCAGCTTTCAGTCTCTCTTTAATAGCAACTGGTACTCGTCTAGGTGGGTGTACAACAGGTTTCACTGTAGGATCCAATTCTATCTTGTACTGGCCAGGTAGCTTCCCAACTCCATCATCAAACACATCAGCATACTCAAAACAAAATTGTTCTGCAGAGCTCATCCTTGGTGTGTCATTCACGTACATGATTTTCTCATGCTGCACCGTGATTAAGCCCATCAGTTGACTGGTCTCACTACCAAGTATGGGTGTCAGCTTCCCATTGTCCACAACGATGAACTCAACATCAAAGGCCTCCTGATTCTTGGGATTTACAACCTTTAAATGACATTTTCCCATTGGTTGCATTGTACTCCAATTGTACATAGACAGCAATCCCTTGGTTGGCTGGAGCTTTAAGGCACCTGTGTTAATGGCTGTACAAGGTAGGACATTGCAGGTTGCCCCGCAATCAACTTGAAACTTCACCAAACGTCCATGGACCTCCATGTTTGCAAAGATCCGTTTCTTTGGCCGTCCTTGAATACAGTTTACCTCTTCGGGTTCAAGAGTGATCACATGTAGTGTGAATTCTGGATCTTCCTCTCCTTCCTTGTAAACCCCATGTACGTTAGTCAGCGTAGTCTTACACTGGCTCTTAAAGTGGTTCATCTTTCCACATCGTGTACATTGTTTGCCAAAAGCAGGACATTTCTCCTTTATGAATTCATGGTCTAGTCCACAGAACCGGCATTCGCGTGGTTTCCTTGCTCCAAGCATCTGCTTCTGCGATCGACTGCCTTTGATAGAGATTTTTACTAGATGTCTCTCTGACTGCATGCATTGTATCTCGATCTAATACACCTATCCTACTTTTGGTCAGTTCTGATGCACGGCATATCTGGATACAGCTTTCTAGAGATAACTCTGTTTCCCTCAACAGTCTCTCTCGCAAAGTTGACTCTTTAATTCCACATATAATGCAGTCTCGAAGCAAACCATCTGCCAGGGTAGAGAAATTGCATTTAGCAGCAAGCAGTTTCAGTGCTGTCAAATATGTATCAAATGTTTCTCCGGCTTGCTGATCCCTTGTAAAGAACTTGAAACGATCAACTGTTTCATTACGAGGAGGATTACAATGGCGGTCAAATGCTTTAACAACCTCATCTAATGTTTCAGTTTCTGGCTTGATTGTTTGATACAGCTCTCTGCCTGTACTGCCAACAAGGTATAACAACATCTTTACCTTGGTTTGATCTTCCTTGCTAGCTATCGCTAGGTCTAGATACAACATCAGTTCCTCCTTCCAGAGCTTCCATACCTGCGGGAGGTTTTGCGCCTCCAAATCTAGCTGTTGAGGGGGCTTTAGTGCTTCCATAGTTGCACTAGCTTCCACCTTTCTGTTTCACTTATCAATCAGAGAAACTATGCCTAATGTCAATGGTAATGGAGACTGTCACTTTTGTTTTCTTTCCCTCTTTTGACTTGTAAGACTTCACCTTCCACTATGTTGCTATGTATATCTCCTTCTCTCATTCATGTCTTATGTAGACATATCTCGACAGATTGTGGTAAGGCTTAGTTAGACATAGAGCACTCGGTGACTAGGTAAAGATCTACGTACTCACGTTCATATCATTAATATCTGAGTCACTCTGCCCGGTCCCACATCTACAGTTCCGCGTAGTGCTCTTCAAATCTAGTAGATTATTAAACAAATAACTGCTTCAAACGTCGCCACTTCTGACATCATGTTGTAGTATCTTACTATGACTCTCAATTAAGAACTACTCTTGGAAACAGTGGGTTTGTTAACACTGAAGAAGTTATATTCTGATTTGTCTCGCGCTGCTTACATTCAGCCTTTCTGCTCATTCGAGTCCTCTCACATTGTTTTTGTTCTAGCCAAGAGGTGGCGCTGCACCTCTTACAAAGGTGTCCTAATCTTCAGCCAGAGCCCGGGCTTACTCTTGTAGAGTTTGAGGAGTATTGTCCCTCTTATTGATGGCTCGGCCTAAGCATCTCAGGCATGCTCGTTAGGGTTCACATCAGGCGAGCAAACAGGCCATTGCATCTGATGCACCCCTCTGCATCAGGAAATTCTCTCATCGTAGCTGGTCTAGCGTTGTTGTCTTGCATCTGAAAGTTGATCCATACACCCTTTTTGTTTGTGACAGTCAATGGTTCTCCATGATGTCTCGATACACGACAGCGTTGACGCTTACATCCGGCACCATTAATTGCGTTTTCCTCCGTTTTGAAAGCCTACCCATACAATTACTGAGCCGTACCGTACCGTACCATATCCTGTGCATTTACCACATTGTTTACATTGTTTTAGTTGCACGCATCTGGAGCGAAGGCAACCTGCATGTAATCGAGAGGGCCTATAATTCCAAAGACGCAAATACCTTCAATTTAATATAAGAAATATGTTTCGTGATTCAATTTAAGATATATTCATCTCGTACCATTATATTTCAACCTCGGCCTGCGGCCGCGGCAAAATTCTGGAATTTCCAAATTTGTCGGTCCCTACATTTGGTTATAAAAGCTGCGCTATATAAATTTATTATTATTATTATTATATTATTATATTGATCTGAACGCCGGAACATGCAATATTTGTAAACTATTATTGCATCTCAGTAATTAGAATGTGAAAGTTGTCCCACTCTCCATAAAGGTGTAGTAAATGGGTTCCTCTAGGAATCTATTCAATGAATGCTTTAAGCGCTTTCGCTTTGAACATCCCCTGGGTTTGGATACGTAAACGATATAAATGTAGCTAGTAGTAGAAGTGGTAGTACATGTAGTAGTAGTAGTAGTAGTACATAATTCTACACACAAGACTTTCATGTCGTGTTCTATATTTTCAATTTGGATGGATCATGCAGCTGGAATATTAGGTATGAATTTATAATGATGTTCAAGTAACCGACCTTAGTTTCTATTCTCCATCCGCCTACTTTGACCTTATCCATCCCCAATTTTTATGTGTCATTTTTCCTCACTTATATTAAAGATTCCACAACTAGCCCGATCCCAACTGAAGCACCTGGTACTGGTAAGTCTATGTGCAATGACTTGGAACATGGCATCCTTTTATTAGGATTGTTTGGATTTTTTGGCGGCATGTTATTCATCTTGTTACGATGGAATCCAGGTGTATCGCACAACAAAAAATATTTCATCTTCCAATTGTCATCCATAACTGAATAACCTCTCAATTTGACAATGACTAACTAGATTTTTGACTAGCTAGATGGATAAAAGACTATCGTTGTACCGGAGCTATTTCAGAAACTTATTTGCGATTGATATCAATCACAAATTAATATAGGAGAGTATATTGCAAACTTGCGATAGATTGGAGGACTTGCGTTTGATTCGCACCAATCGCAACTCTTTATAAGACAGAGCACAGGTTGTAATGTCGAAAGTTGCATCTATAAGGGAATATGCCGCCGGATTATGTCAACTAGGTTACGATCATATTTGCCAAATAACAAAAGACTAGAAATGGCCCCAAATAGTCTAAGGATAACCGTCGTCTTCGTCTCCTCATTCTTATCCTTTTTAATTGTTACAAATATTCTTGGAATACTGCCCCAACCCGTTTGTTGGCAAAATACCACTGCGTACGTGTTTAAATGGTTCCATGCTTTTATTTCTTCCACAGTTCGTCTCGTGAATGGTATCGGAACACACGAGGGAAGGGTAGAGGTATTCTACAGCGGATCTTGGGGGACCGTCTGTGACGACTATTGGGGCATAGAGGACGCACGTGTGGTCTGCAGAAGTCTAGGCTTTGAGGGTGCCCTTAGTGCCCCAAGGCAGGCCCGCTTCGGCCAGGGCAGTGGTCCTATTTGGATGGATAACGTTCATTGTTTGGGCAATGAGGAATACATCTTCAGCTGCCCGCATAACAGTTTCGGAAGTCACGACTGCGGCCATTGGGAAGATGCCAGTGTCGTCTGCTTGCCTGATCGTAAATACGTCTAATTTCGTATTGATTTTTTTCTTTTCATTTTTCAATGCTGGCAGTGCCCTCTGTAGCCCAGGGGCGAATCCAACCGCCGTCAGGAGGAGGGGGCGGGGGCACAAATCGTGAGAAAATATTTAGCGGCGACTCAGCCAGTCGGTGAACGAGCAGGGGGCGCTTTAGTTTTTTGTTTAAAAAGATAAAAAATTAACGTTAGCATCTTATTGTTGTACCATGTTGAACACTAGGCACTATATGCCACTACCACTATCACAACTTAAAAAACGCCTCGTGTGCACCGGAGGCACATACCTTCTATTGGTGTGTGCTGCAAGGTTCTGGAGCGATCAAAATGATAAGAAATTTGGCCTATTCTTGGTAGTAACAAGAATTGTACACAGAAATATGTATATGGGACTACACAAACACGTGGCCAGAAAATCAGGCCTTATTTTTAAACTGTTAATATTATGTTTCACCTCTCCCTGAACTCAACCTTCTCTTTCAACATAATTACATAAATTATTGAGCAGAGCTTAAGCTACAGTCCCATATACGTACCGTCCCGGACCATCCCGGACCCCATGGTGATCCGGGATTCGGTCCGTGTTGACACCGTGTTTGTGGTCATGGTCCTGGATGGTCCTGGACGGTCCTGGATGGTCCTGGGCGGTCCGGGAGTCGACATGTTTTGACGGTCAAAAACTGCCTGGTCACGGTCCGGGACAATAGTTTGAGTAGCCAGGGTCATCCGTAGTGGCGGTCCGTGTTGACTGGCAGTCCAGTGAGTTATGACCGCCCAGGACCATCCAGGACCATCCAGGCTGCCAACACGGTGTCAACACGGACCGAATCCCGGATCCGGATGGGGTCCATTCCGGGACGGTCCGGGACGTATATGGGACTGTAGCTTTTAAAGCATCACACTTTTTTGAACAAAACTCCCGGACCAGGATCACCCCAGACCATGGTCCGGGATGGTCCGGAGTGGTCCGTGCTCGTCCGTGCTGGACGGCATATGGGACTGGGGCTTTACTCAGTCTCTGGTTGTGTCAAATAAGTCACAACTCACAAGCAGAAGAGTACAGGGTCCATTGACTTCAGATTATGCATATACCACTCACGACTAAGGAGAGCTGAAGGTGCTAACAGATGAAGTAAAACCTTCGTTATGGTGTGCTTGCAAACTACTCGTTGTACACGCGGCATCAAATCGGTGATGCACGACCGCACCTTGTGAGAGTGACTGCGCGCTAAAACTGAATTGCAAAACGAGCAGCACAAACAATAAGTAATAAAGGAATTATGCCATTCTACATCGACCATTCAGCAAACGCTTCAACGCATGCTTTATTGGATTCATAATTTTGTACGATTACACCTTCACATGAAAAAAAAAACCCGAATTGTTTGCTTGTTTGGGTGGGGGGGGGGGTGGTTGCTCACATGAACTCAATTTACCTTGACTTTGACATCAACGTTCAATTCATTTTTGTATGTTCACTCTGGAGAGATGATTTTGTTTAAAAACTTAAATTTAAAAAAAGTCCATAAAATATTAATGTTTTGAATTTGAAGAAGAGAGATATAATAAACCCTTGCACATACACTCTCTACACTCTTACCATGTTAGGTCCATACATTGCAAGAACAAGTACTTCATATTATGATAATGGACAAATATTCATTTGATATCTTCTCACAGAGGCAGAACTGACTTGTGACAGCATGTCGATGACGCTTATAATGGACAGGGCCCTTCTCGAGATCGGCGACGACGCCCGCGATATCCAGTTTGAAGACGAGTCTTGTGTTGGATACGACCACGATAGTCAGCATGTTGCGATCACCACCACGTACGACAGATGTGGTACTACGCAAGAGGTATGGTCAATAGGTCTTTATGTACCATTGATGCATCACAAATATACTACTTGATGAAGATTTCAATAACAAACTCTCATGAATCGCTGTTCCATTCTCTCAGTGACCATGTTAATTATCTATATTTACAAGTGCTCGTAGGAGATTATTTCCCATCAGTAATACACATATACTTAAATAACGTCAGGGTTCTGCATACATGTCTAACATCTGTTTCACTATGAATATTTATATACCTCACTTAAGAAATCCAGCCATCTGATTGGTCGAAACTGCATTCATAAACTTTAACTATTTCTGTAAAATTCCCAGTAACCATGGTTACAACAGTTCTAAAATCCCAGTAACCATGGTTACCGGGAAAATAGTTCAGTCTCCATGGTTACCCCATAGGTTTACATGTTAAAAAATGGTTTGAGCGATCGAGGATACCGTACGTGTGCGAAGAATTGGTCGGTATTTTCATACAAGACAAGACAATTCCAAACAAGTCAAAAATGGCTCAAGAACCTCTCCCAAGATTTCAACTTATCAAATGCAAGACTCGCTGACAGCAAGAACAACAAAAAGGGTACGTGAAATTATCCATAAACATGTTCGTTTAGTAGCTGAAAAAGCATAGACGTAGACTCTAGACGAAAATAGATCTAGTTGTCGGGGTGTCTGATCGCGCACCTGATGTTGTGTGTTAAAATTCTTCTCATAGAGTTTGCACGCAATGCAGTCGCTATGCAGTCTACGTGCATTGCGCGACCATGCAAAAAAAGTCAAGTTTTTTTTTTTCAATTCGAGATTCAAACCTTTATCTGTTGTGATCCTGAAGGTGATACTCAATAAGTGAGGTGTCATATGAAAGCGCAGGTTCTTCTCCATATTACCCATAGGGCCGGCCCACCCCCAAAATTGTATAAATATCTTGCTTAGACTAGAATCTAGATCTAGTCTACTCTCAAAGATACACTCATAAAAAACAACTGTGCAGATAAACTAGAGAAAGGCCAAGGTGGTGTCATTATAGTTGACTCTTTTGTTTTTGGCATATAAAAGTATTAATGACTGCTTTAATATTCGAGAAATAGTTGTTTTTATACGCTCTCGGGAAGGTTACAATTGGGCTATTGCCCTCGGCACGCCTCGGGCAATAGCACAATTCTAACCTTCCCTTAAGCGTATAAAAACAACTATTTCTCTCAAAGCAGTCATTAATACTATAATATTGGCTAAATGAAAAACACAGGGAGGTCATGATCATCGATTTGAGGGGGAAATATCTTTTTTTAGATGCGTCTATTTCAAGATTAAAATATGAAAAAACATATTGAAGCTGTCTGTCAAGCCCAATGTATTTCTTTCCCTTTTTGAACACGATATTCTCGGCCCAAAGGACGTAATCTTCAGAGGCGGATTAAGCGTAAACCTGGAATAGAACACCGAAGTTTAGATGGCAATGGAGACTAAAGATGAACAAAATGTTGTTCTTTGTCTTTATTCGTACTTTTTGTTATTATTCTAGTTTTCACCTTTAATTTCTGGCACACCATAGTAAATATATTATTAGATATTTATATAGTTATTGAGGTTTTATATCACCTTCGGCCTTGTAGAAGTGTTGTAGTATACTCGATATAGTCGGTGAATTGTGGACACAAGGTACGGGTGAGAGTCCCTCCCATACATGTCTTTCGGAAAACACTTTTAGTCTACATTTGCTACTCTCCAGTCAGATGGGTTATCCAGTAAGAAGAAACTATTTATCCATTTCTTATAATCATAATTATTGTCAGCATTGATATTATTACCATCATCATCATCATCATCATCGGAAGACAACTAAAACGTTAAACTGTTCTAAAAAACGGCACACTGTTATCTTTTGGTCCCCATAACAGTTTCTCTATTAACATTTTCGTTTAATATTCCCTCGCCCCTTCCCATCAATACCTGCAGCAAGACGACGACTACATAATATTTACCAACATGGTGACGTATTACAAGCCTCGCCCTGAAAATGGAACTGAGCTCATTACCAGAGAACACTATCTTCATATCCCTGTTACTTGCTACCTGGAGAGGACGCAGGCCTTGGAAGAGTCCTTCTTGCCTCAAGCAAATCTTTATCTTTTTGAAGAGGTGAGGATTCAATTACTTTGTAGCTTAATGTAAAGCGAATTCTGGTAGGAGCAACGTGGTATGTTGGTGGAGACGTCGTGGAATAGTTATTCACTTGGATATCAATCCACGGGTTGACGGTTCTAATCCCAACTCGGCACTAATGTCCTTTGGCACGAACAGTGTAATCATGTTCGAGGGCCAGGAGCACGACGGGGTGAGGACATTTGCGCGAAATAAATTAACCGAAGTTTGACGTCATGCTGGCTAAGTTGTGAAGGTTGCTGGATCCAAACAATGTTTGTGTCAAACAATAGTCTGGTGATCACACCAGCCCCAAACATTGAATTCGCCCTACTCCAGCCCGTTGCTTAAATGATTTGCGGTGAACCTCATGTGCAGACTCTGTTTTTAGAACCAGTCACCCAAACGACGACCGGATATGGCATTAGCATTTGGGTACTGTGTCAGAAGACACCATTAGCTTTTCATTTTTTATTATCATTATCATTGTTATTATTATTACTATTATTACCATTATCATTAATCTAATTATGAATATTAACATAATTATTATTGTTATCATTTGAAATTTTGTTAGTTTATATGTCTCGACCAAACTTTTCTGGTACATTTTTGTGTCCCATATACCCATCTCTCTCCCTTAGACACACGTATAAGTTGAAATGTATCTCTCTCTCTCTCTCAAATGTGTACTCACTTTCTAGGAAGGGTACGGCGAGTTCTCGCTTAACCTTGACCGGTATACAAACTCAGGCTTCTACCAACCTGCAAACGATTCCGGCGAAGTTACACTCGGCGCCCCGCTATACTTCAGCGTCGGCCTGACGTCCGTCACGAACCTCACGCTTCTCATCGAGTCGTGCTGGGCAACGAGCTCGCCGAGCCCACGGGACGACCATCGCTATGATATCATCGAGAATGGGTGGGAATTGTTCTCTACCTTTGCTTACTCATTGTTTATCGCGTTGACTCTTGCATTGCATCCACCAAGTAAGAGCAGTGCACGCCCTCTCATGAATAGGCAAACACTGTACCATTCCTAAGGGGTGGACTGACTATGGGGAGTTTCCCACTATTTATTCTGCCACGAGGACCGGTCGATTGGTGCTCTGGTGGCCGGTTGATATATGTATCCTAGAGGTTGAGTGGGCCGGTCGTATCGAAATTCTCAACCGAATTTCAGTCCTAGTCCGCCAATGCATTAGCCTAAATAATAAATGCACGACGTACTTCATCATGACAGCCAATTTATTTCTAAAAATGTGTTTGTGTTTTGTAGATGTGCCGTGGACAGCACAACAGTCATCTACAATTGGCTCTCTCCAACTTCCAAGGGATTCAGTATCGCTGCTTTCGCCTTCATTGGCGATTTCGACAAGGTGAGTGTCAAGTACAACAATGGCCCTTTGTACCCCTCGTATCCGTTACACCCGATGCGTCATTGTATTGACGTAGTACTGCGTCAGTGATTAATGTGGTCTCCGATGCGGCATGTGAAAGTGACAAACGGTGATTCTAAAATGAAGGATGGGCTTAACTTAAGAATACCCCCACCTATAGGGTTTATGAACATAAACATCAATGACCTACGGTTAGAGTTAAGGTTAGGGTTATGAATAGGATTAGGTTTAGTGCTACCTAAGACACTAAAGTCCTCAGATTTAGCTTCATTGATGAAGCGTTGTGTAACCTACGAACGTCTGGTGGGGTATTCTAAAGTTGCTCCGAATGGTGCAGACAATGAGTTCAAACGGAAGCATGGGCTACTTGACTTAACCACAGGTTCGGTTAACTAGCACAGAAGCGCAGCTAATAACGCAATCAAAATGACACATCATAGGCAACTGGGGCTTTATTCTAAGCTCTACTGACGTACGAATGCATCAACAACTGGCGCAGTCTTTCACATGCCAATTGGGAAAGACACCACACAATTAACGAATGAAAAACTACAGTGCAAAAAATATTGACTTAAATTACCGTTGCATGCTAATATTCCTTCAGTTTCTTGATTAAAATCTCAAAATCAAGTACTCATTAGGTTTGTATTGCTATGCGTTTATCTGTTTTATTAACTCGCAGGGTAATCATGGTTATGGAGACAAATTTTCTGTTTTTATGGGCTTAGTGCTTGGTACCTATTAAGGAATAAAGCTTTTGGTTGAGTAAGCCTACTGCATTATATTCAGTAGACGTAGTAGGAGTCTTAGAACCACCGCACACTATAATTAAGGTCCTCTTTAGCCTTTACATTCGAAATGTGGAAATTATTATGATTCACGATAACAATTTACGATTAGCGTTATACCATCTTTTATGTCGTAAAGATGCTTTGCATTTATTTTTCACCTTCTAATTAGCTCTGTCGTCTCTCAAAACAGGTTTATGTTCACTGCTCAATCCTGATCTGTGACAAAAACGACTCGGGCTCCCGCTGCGCTCAGGGGTGCCTGGCACGAGCTCGTCGTAGTCTGCAGCCGGCAGGCTCGGGATCCAAACCTCACACCATCACGAGCGGACCGCTCTCCGATGCCTCACGCTCCCAAAGGGCTATGTTGCTTGATAGCTTTGAAGATGGTGAGTCGTTTTTGAAGAGTACATTATGTCCTGTATGTTCATGGTGCATTAGATAAGACGGCATCTGACAATACCGATTAATGCAAAGGAATTCATGTCACATGAAACAGCGAACATTACAAGACAATGTGAGCAGCTTACAGATGTAAAAGTCAAATGTTCTGCAGGCCCGGGCTGCGTCTTATTTTTTCGTACCACGGCGAGCCCAGATTGAACTCGCGAGGTAAACCTGCGCATGCACACTCTCAAAGGGAACCAGCGCATGCGCACGTGGAATCCGGTAGGGTGGTTAATAGGGTGATAGTAATTATACAAATCAATCTGTCATCAACCCATCGTCAGCTCAATCGGTAAGGACAGCGTGTTACTAATAAAACTTTGGAGTTGCCGTGAGGGTTCAAATCTCAGTTTATTTACTATTTTTGCCTTTATAAATAGTGAGGCAAAGCAATAAATAATCAAAGTCGAAATGTTTGTGACCTCATTGCAAGCTCTCGTTGCTTGTTATGTATAAAAATGAGTTCATACTGGAATCTGGGCTCGCCGTGGTACGAACAAATAAGACGAGCCCGGGCCCGGCGTCTCCCAAAATTAAGACGCACCCGGACCGCTGTGATTGGTATATTTAGCACAATTCCAATGATTTCATCGAGATATATATCGTGTACCACTTTCGTAATGTAGGCTAAACCAAATTAAATGCATATGTCACTGTGAAGTGTCTTGATGCTAGGTAGGACTAACATTATTGTTTGTCCTGGAATGCTAATTCCAAACAATATTTGTTGCTTGCCCTACCAAACAACACGTAATGCAATTTGCATTATAACTATTAAAATACAATCGTTCGTAACAGATGAAGGAAGTAATTCGTATCCAGGTGCCTCACAAAGACGTTTAAATGAATCATATGACATTGCGGAAATGCCCAATTGATTCAGAACGAGTACCTGATTTTTTAAAAGGGACCACGGGCACTATAATTCTGTAAAACTTTATAATAAGCGCGAGAGAGGAAGAAAGAGACGTCCCGAGAATAAAAGAAATATTCCTATTTCAATAAAAAGAAAAGAAAAAAGGGTTGATAACAAATGTATGTTGCCGTGGGGTAAAACGAATTGAATAAGTGGGTCGTTATTTCGAGTTGTGTACTACAGTATTCCCCTTCTCTTTTGCAATGGTTGTACCACCACCCCCCCCCCCTTTCCCCCGTTCCTACCCGCCAGTGAATAAATCAACACATTCAGCTTGGCATAGGTCTTGGTAATAATAGGCTTATTACCAAGATGGTGCCTTGAGATTCCCCGAGGATCGATAGTTGTGCAGTTTAATGTAGGTACGTGTTTATTATTAGTTTTAACCCTAATAGTTTCATTATTATCACTAGTATGGTCATCGTTCTTATTCTTATTTCTTATTAGTGTCGTGTTAACTTGTTTATCACTCTCCAGGACCCGAATCTCATGACCCCCTGATGATCGTTGCTGTGAGCGCCATCTGTGTTCTCATCGCTCTTACTGTCATCATGGCGCTGATGATGGTGCGCATGCGTCGTCATCGCCACGAGCTGATTGGCTATCGCAGAGTGGGCGTTACCGAGAATGGCTATTAACGCTTGAAGAGAGAGAGAGAAAAAAATACATCGATCTGATTGGAGTAAAATTACAAATACATGTATAATTTTAAAGTGTCAAAGCTCCTCTTAGGCTCTTCGCACGGAATCAATTGTAATATGGAAATGTTACCTCTGTAATATGGATTCAAACATCAAGATAAATACTACGATTTTTTATTAATGCAGTCTCTTGGTGAAGGGTATCTTATTGGTGATAAGAAATTGGAGACGGTGTCATGTGCTTTGATTCATATTTTTTTTGCCCATAACACTTTCATTTTTGTGTGATAGTCAAACAGATATAAAGAATAGTACCTTTAGGTGGAAGTAGGAAGCCTTTAAACAAATGTATATACACCTGTATAAATATGTCTTCTATGCAATCCCATATATTTCTACACAGATCTTCTCAAACTATTTTCTTCTTTCATTTAATATTCGTAATGCTAAACTTAAGTACATGCAGAACCTAGTTGCGTATTGTTCCATTGTCCATTTTAATAATGGCAGAATCTCTCTAAATTGTTACTTTTCACATAGGAGATAAAGATTTCATCTGCTTTTCTTTGTTGGTATCAGCAGTGCGTAGGGATATGAACGTCATAAATTGTTGTGTTTTGTTCTCGTTTTTTTCTTCTGTTAAGTATAACTCGATCGCAAAGACTTTCGAGATCACTTTCAGAGTTCGTAATAACGTCATTGTAATGTTCGCACACTCTAAGGTGGCGCACATGGCTATTGAAATCGCTCTAGGTTGATTTCTCGAAAGTTTTTGAGCTCGGGTTACATGTAGATCTTTCAGATATAGAAATTGAAATCGAAGGTTAAAGCGTTCGCCTTTTGGTTTATCCTTTTCGTCAACTTTCATTGGAATCGAAAAGAAAATGATAATTGTATAATACATGTAATTTATGTTAAAGGTACTATGTCCCATTTGCAGGCCAAAAATGAAAAGGTTAAATTCCAACGGCATTTGAAAGACAATACTAATTTAGAACTTCCCTAAAAAAAGGGGGGCTTGAAAATATCTTTAAGTGGGAAAATAACGACTATTAGTTGTCAAAGCGACTTAGGAGCTATAGAGCCAGTAAGTAATAGTCTGATTTTTCAGACCATTGTACCGAATGTTCGTACGTTTTATGCTGGGCAGAGATTCAATAAGTTAAATTTTGGCCATTATAAGAAGTGGGTTATTGATGTAGACAAATGCTCATGTACCCTTTACAGCTTATTTTATGTATGTTATTACCAAAGATGAAAAAGCCAGTCAGTCACTCAAAAGTGTCTGACAGTGAGGTCTAGCAAGTAAACGGGGTTTCTTGCATAATTTGAATATTAGGACACTGCTAATGTTTAAATTTCACAGATAGGACATACATGATATATTCATAATTCCTGCAAATTTTAACAAAATTTGATGTTGGCTGCAAAAGGGACATAGTACCTTTAAGATTATTCAGTTATAAAAATATATTTTCCACCTTTCTTCAATTTTCCTCTCAAAATATGTACTAAGGCGTAGTTATTGGTTAATTAAATAATGTTCTACCTAAATCTGTGGTATGTCTTTATTAATTTATGTACTTGTAGTTGTAGAAGACACCCCAATTCCCCTCTCTCACTCTTTCTCTCTCTCTCTCTCTCCCTCTCTCTCTCTCTCTCTCTTTCTCTCTCTCTCTCGCTCTCTCTCTCTCTCTCTCTCTCTACATCTCTTCCCTATCTCTCGCTCTCTTTCTCTATCTCTCCTTCATTCTCAATCTCTTCCCCTTCTCTATCAATTATCTTTCGCACGTTTCTTTCTACTCCTCTTTTTCTTCAACTTGCTTTCTCCCCCTCTCTTCCTCTCTCTTTCTCTCTCTCTCTCTCTCTCTCTCTATCGCACACCCACCCGCCCATTCGAACGCAAAGACACACAGCCATTACCACTTTCTACCTCCTTATTTTTTTATACGCATTTTCACTCTCCTTCCTACCTTTCTGTCTGTTTTCTGTCTCTTTCGCTTTCACCTTTATACGGCACGGACACATAATATATTCACCCGAAAATGATGGAAAGTATATAATTAGATAGGAGTGTGACACAAAAGAAAGTTTAAGCTAAAAGACTGATCGGTCCGTGCAGTACAATCTTATATTTTCCAACTACAAAGTAATTACACACATATTGATAAAGAAATAACACACAAGTAAAGTAATTATTCATTTCTTCTCTAACATAGATGCTGCATGTAATATAAGCACATTCTCGCAACGGAAGACTGAAAAGACATTTGATAAGTAACATAATTGTATCACTTATAAATGCGAGTGAGCTTTGGGGGAAATTGCTCTTAGTCGCTTGAAATTAGGTGCACGTTTAATGATGAGAGGAAAAGGGGTCACTTATTAGAAAAGAAGAGGAGTAATTTTGTCGAAGTACAAAGGGTAATTATCAGAGGTAAAAAGGGGGTACTTAATGCACCTGAAACTAGGCTCTGACCAGATATGAAAAAGGGCAGTTATGAAAATGAAAAAGGGGCACTTAAGATAAAGGAAAATGTGCATTAGTTGAAAGAAAAGGGGCAATGATCAAAATTTAATGGGAGGGGGCTTTTATGAGAAGGGGAAGTGGCTCTTTATTAAAAAGAAAAAGAGGCACATCTTAGAATAAACTGGGCACTTATCAGAAATGAAAAGAGGTAATTATGAGAAGGGAAGGGGCACTTATAAGAAGAAAAAAGAACATGAATTTTGATTAGAATGGAAAGAAGGCGCGTGTCATATAAAAGGGGCAGTTATTAGAGGTGAAAATGTACACTCATTAGGAGGGGAAGGGGCACTTGTCAAAGTAAAACGAGTATCTCTCATATTTGAATAGGGGCAATTATCGGAGGTGAAAGGGCACCTGAAAAGTACCTGAAAAGGGAATTTATGGGAAGGGGCTCTTTTTAAAATGGGGTCTCTTATCATTAGGAAAAGGGGCAATTCTGAAAATATAATGTCCGCTTATCCAAATTAAAAAGGGGGTAGTTATTAAAAGGGGGAGGGGCACTTGGCAGAGTAAAAGGGGCATCTCTCAGATTTGAATAGGGCAATTATCAGAGGTGAAGGGGGCACATATCAAAAGTGAAAAGGGACACTTCTGGTTCCTGAAAAGGGCGCTTTCTAAACATTAAAAAGGGATTATTTGTTATGAGAATGGAAAATAGACACTTATTGAAAAGGAAAATGGGAACTTGTACAGGAAAAGAGGCATGTGTCAAAATAAAGAGGGGCACTCATCTGAGGTTAAAAGGGGAAGGGGCACTTATACAAATTAATAGGGCCACTTGTTAAAGTAAAGGGAGTACTTTTCCTATGTTAAAAGGGGCACCTTTGGGGTATTTGAAAAGTGGGGCCCCCCGGGAGGACTGCTTCTGGTCTGCATCCCCCTAGGCTAACGACAGATCTCTGCCGCTGGTCTCAAGGCACTTCACACCAGCGTCTTCAGCATGAGAACAGTCAGCAAAGTCGCTATGATAGCATGCAAACAGACTGGGCTCTCTCCCGGTGCAAGAGACATCGTCAAGCAAAATGGCCCCGTCTCCCTCACCAAACTTGGCCTCTCTGTAAGCCAACTCGGCCCTCTCGTATCCCAGCATCTTACAAGCCACGTGTGCATCCTCTATCCCCCAGTAGTCATCGCAGACCGTCCCCCAGTTTCGGCCTCGGAATACTTCTACCCTGCCCTCGCTTGGCCGGTTGCCGTTCACAAGGCGGATGATGGCTGAATTGTCAATGGATGGGTTGGCTGCAGAAAAATATGGAAAAGAAATAAGAGCCGATAAACTAGTTGACTTCTGAATCCTCTCATTAGCTTTAGGCTTAATACATGAGGTATCTGTCTGGAAAGGCTATCTAAAGGGGAAAGGTGACATGTTCTACATCCTTCAACATATTTTTCCTCAAGAAAAACATTTGCAAGAAATATTTAAACATTCCATGGAGAATTTTCCTAGAACAAGGTGTAGCATTAGACAATTGATGTGCATTTGAATATCTACGTTAGAGTAAAAGATGATTATGCCTCTGCAACAAAAGGTGGTGCAGGGGGCATTATGTTTTTATGTTGCCCGTCCATCAGTCCGTCATGCGTTTTGTTACTCGATAATTCAAGAAACGTTGATCGAAAGGATTTTAACCAAACTTGGAACAAGTATGTATTAGCATGCAAAGAATGAAGTGAATAGATTCTGGGTATAAAAGGTCAAAGGTAAAGGTAATAAAGTGTTAAAAACTACCAGAAAATAGTTCGTTATCGTGATAACTCGAGTACCGTCATTGAATGGATTTTAACCGAACTTGGATCCGGTATGCATGAATATGCAAGGATAAACTGATTAGATTCCAGGTGTATGAGGTGAAAGGTATTAAGGGTCAAAATAGCTTGTTACCACGATTACCTGAAAAGTACTAAACCAATTCAAGCCAAACTTTGATGAATTGTGAATGAGTATGCAAGGATGAACAGATTTTGGGTGAGAGAAGTCAAAAGTCACAGGATCATAAAAGTGTTTAAAAATGCCAGAAATATATTTATATTGTGATAACTTGGCAAAACCTGAACCAAAGTTGACCAAATTGGCCCAAGTACAGTTAGATATGAGCATGAATATATTAATTTAAAAAATAGTGGGGTTTGGGAGGTCAGATGCTGAGGGGCACAGGATCCATAAACATATATACTGGCTTAGGCATATGAGAGATGCAGTCACATTCATCTCTAGCAAATAGAACACCAGGATGTCTACATACCTTCTGATCCTGTTCTGCAGGTCACACCCACATCTTTGGAGTGGTCGCAGTTGTGGACACCCAATCCAAGATGGCTGCACTCATCAAGACTAGACTCGTTGCCTTGGCAACGTACATTATCCATCAAGATAGGTCCTGAGCCTTTGATGAGCCACCACAAGTCGGTGGTCGAGTACTCCAAGTCGGCTCCCTCGTACCCTAGCATCCTGCACACAACCTCAGCATTCGTCCTCTCCCACAGGTCCTCACAAACAGTTCCCCATTGGCCTCGGTAAAGGACTTCAAGCCTGCCCTCTTGTGGTACATCGCCATCAACCAGACGCACCTCCTCTATAGAGGCTGCATGCATGAAGAGGAAATTTGGCAAGGCACTCTTTCTGGTTTACATGTGCACTTTAAAATATTTTTGATTGTTTGTTCCTGGTCATATTTAAAAGAAACTGATCAATACGCTAATAGTGAACTGTCACAGCTAGTGTTCTTAGTGGTAACTTCAAGGAAAATAAATGGTCTGTTTTCAGACCATAATTATGCTATATCTATTACTTCCATATTACGTTTGCTGGCAATAATATCGCTTTATCTCATGTATGTTGGAACCTAAAGTTAAATCAGGACCCTGTCTTATATAGGAGCTGGGATTGATCTAAATCATTTATAACATTTATATCAATGACAACGTTGTACAGATGACTAAGGCAATTGACTGAGGGACTTACAATTAATTCTCTCACAAGTCTTTATTAGATATGGCAAAAAGTCAAAAGATTAAATAAATCACTTTATTAGATATGGCAAAAATTCAAAAGATTATATAAATCACCTGTTGAGTTTGAACACATAGCCTGTAGCTTCGCCACAAACCCCTGCTCTTCCGTCTCAGAGTCTGATATGAAGAGAAACCATACCTGGTTGGAGTTCAAATGGAGGGGTGCAGGAATCTCCTCTCCTGTCCATCGATGGACCATGTTCTTGGGTGTAACGTCCTGCGATCCCACAACCAGGTAGTCATATATGGGCTCAGTGCTGAAGGCCATGAAAGTGATGTGGATGGCGCAACGGTCAGAGGTTGTCACTTGCCACAGGATGGTTGCATTGCTTGGGTAGTTGCTGGGAAAGCTAGAGGATGCAATAAAGTAGTCCTGTCCCTCCCTAAGAGCGATAGGTCCACCTGAAACAGCGATTACAAAGCAGTTTGAACAGAATGAATGCAACTTTGTCTCTAATAAGCCTTTACCTACATGTATGTACATTAATCAAGGATCCTGTGACCTCGGAAACCCAAACTTTGTTTTCATTTAATGTTCATGTTGTCATGCTCCTATATTGTTTTAAAGCTCAGCTTGTTCGACATTGATTCATTCCTATATTTGCACAATTAGGATATTTTCTGTGATTATAACATTTGTAAAGATCCTGTAATCTTTCACATTTCATCTATTACACCTACATTATAATCAGTTCAGATACCTTAACATAATTCTTGTAATAATAAGAATGAGATGAAAGTCAGTTCCTAGGAAAGAAAATAGAGCTCAAAAGGTGATTTTGACACTGATGTCTCCATGGCACATTGCACAATCAATCATTATCATACCTGTAGAATCCACATTCACACCAATGGTCCATGGTACTTCACTAGTCAAATCTGGTGATAAATACAATAAAGATATATTGAAGAAAAAAGACATATATGAGTTGGATTAACTAGTGTTTGAGGAAGTACTTGTATTACTATCAGCAGAGCCATCTTTGCACAGAGTTTGGCCAACTTGGTTTCACTGGGTCACAACATGGCGCATATTGTTATTTTTTGTGCCTGCCCAACAAAGCAGTAATCGCCACATTGTGTCCAACTCGAACCGGGTTGGCCAAGCTCTGAGTAAAGATGGCTCTGACCATCCTTAAGATCATGGAATATTCATTCCTAAATTTCGTAAATAGACAAGACAAATGTGACACCTTGTCCATATAAAGCTATAGTCACAACTCAGAGCGGCGACCGACCGATTTCTAGCCTGCCCATCGGTCGCCGCTGGAATTTAGGCAACGCCCAACGATTGTTTCTTGGGGGAGTCGAGCAGGCTGTAGAACCCCAGCGATGCCTGGGCGGTGCCTTGTCGATTTCCCGTCGGTCGCCGGTCGTTTTTAGGTCAAAAATGGGCGAAAACGGGGAGCTTCTCCGCGCGGCGTCCGGCAGTGACCGACTGATGACCTACCGATTCCCAGGCGGTCTCCCACCGGCCGACGGCTGATTTTAAAGAAATTCCCCAGCGGCCGGCCTGGATCGGAGGGGCACCAAAATACGCTCGGTGCCCGGGAAGTCGCCGCCCGGACACCGACCTAATCGAGCGTTCGCCGTCGAGCGATATAGGTCGAAAATCGAAGCTGCGAGGTCAAAGGCTGCCGTCCGCTTTTGAATTCGCCGCCAAGTGACCGACTGATCTCCCAGCGACGAGCGGGCAGCGACCGTCCGGGCACCGAGCATGTTTTGGGCGGCGAGTGAAAAAGTGAGCGGGCGCCGCCAAATTTTAACTCCGCGCTAAAACTTCAACGGCGGCCGAGCAATGCCCTAAAAACAAGCGGTGTCCGGACGAAATTGGCTAAAAACACCCCCGCCCGGCCGCCTTGCGGGCTACTTAGGGGGGTTGTGACCATAGCGTAAGGTGGATATGCTGCAGGGTAATTTGTAGAAGAGATGTTGAGCTTTGACCCGTGAGATGCAAACATGATTGCTCCATCTGTGTGTGTGTAAAGTTCCATAGAGTACTCTCTTGACGTTTTGAAATATTTGTAAGATAAAGATGTAAGACGATTATTTGATAATGCTGTGAACTGGTAGCCCTCTGTGCATTTAAACAATGACTTGATTAAGTGTCACAGTATTATTTTCTATGCTAAATTGGTTGGGAAAAGAGGAAGAAGAAGGATTTTTTGAAATGTTGAATAAATCTGTAGAAGTTTTCAAAATTATGATTGAGGCAAACTAAAATATTAAATATCAAATATCGAGTAGAAGTTTTGTTGATCCAACGAACCATATTAAACATTAACAATTAAATTTGTAATTCTGTTTAGAACTTTTAAATACCCTGTTGTGCCCTATCAGACAAGACAAATAGTTTATAAATAAGGGATACAAATGCATATGTATATATATATATATATATATGTATATATTTCGAATAAATTTATAGGGTATATGGATTTTGAATAAATTTGCATAAACTATCACAATCGATGTTTTAGGCAAAATTTCAAAATTCTGTGTAGAAGTTGTGAGTAATTACCAGAAGGAAGGTCCTTTCAAATAAACTCACATCAACTCTTACCATTATAATCTTGTGTAGTCAGTCCCGTAGTCTGGCTTGCAGTTGTTGTTTCTGTACAAAATAGATAAATTGATGATATTCTGAAATGAGGTACAGGAGCACGCATATGTCAAGGGGATACAAAAATAAATTTTACAATTGAAGTATTTATGACCACGAGCTTCCACTGTCACATTAAAGGTTCCCGTATGTGTTGATCACGCCCTTTATTAATAAACTCAGTTAAAATCATGGGTTGAATTAATACAATTTTTATAACAGCCTGTAACTTTTATGTCAGTTGATCTTTTTCCGACCTTCACTTTTGACCAGACATCCAAAAATCTAACTCATTTCATGTCACTGTCGTGATGCATGCTACCATTTAGTTTACAGTTTATACCTTAAGTGATTGACATATCATGATGTTAAGGCTAAAACCCTGAAATTTCATAACAGTTGACCTCTTAACAAATTAATAATAATAATAATAATAATTCAAATAACAATATTGATAATAAGAACAATGGTAATAATACGATGAAAGAATTGAAGCTCAATTTTGCTTACCTGCACTGCAAGAAGCTCTTAATTCTGCCTCAAATCCTTGATACACTACAGAACTATCAGTTCTGAATCGGATTCGCATTAACGTTGACGGAGCATAAGTTCTGATGAACGGCGCCAGATGACTTGTAAATCTGTTAATTAGCATAACCGACTGATCAGCTCCTGATTCACTGCTTACGGTCAGCTGGTCATATGAGTTCTCAGTGAAAAAGCTGAGGACACTCAGAACCAGAGAGCAATCCTCCGGCATGGTGATGACCCATAGAACATTGGCGTTGGAATCGTAGTTGGCAGGGTAGTTGGGAGAAGAGATGTACAGACTGTCTTCGTCTTGAAGAGCGAAATTACCTCCTTAAAATATAATTCAACATGTTTGTACGTTATTGAAGGGATTATAATCAAGCATTCTTCATAATAAGTGGGTACATTTGCTACTTAGATAGACAGATAACGCACCTGAGTAAATGAAGTATGAGACGTACCCATGAACCAGAGCAACTTATAAGAAATGTTTGAAAGAAACTAAGCAAACATCAAGAAAGTTAATCATTTTTGAAAATTGAGATCACTGTATTAGATACAAAAATTTCAAGATTTTAATAGCATAAAATTGTACTTTGTCCAAATTTGGTGTTCATAAATACAAATGCTGTCCCTACTAAATTAAACTCCTTTTCTTCGACACTCAAAGTTTGAGTTGAGACTAAAAAATCGCTACCTTTCTAGTGAAACAGAAGCAAGTAACCTAATTGTGAAGGGTATTCACATGGGATATATTTCATACCTAATCTAACAATAAAACAATAAACCTTTTCCAAATAAAAAAAAGTCAATACTTGAAAGTTGATATTTAGCAATTGCTTGAAGAAAGGCTTGCTAGGATATGACGCGGTAAACAGCTACGAAAAAACTGTCACTTTATATTTAAATGAATAGCATCTAGGCCTACAAACAACAAAGGTCCTATACGTGTATTCAATTAATTTGATTATGCAAAGTCAATCAAGATGATAACATGTTAATAGCTCTTACCCCGTGAGTGTACCTGTACCATCTGCTCGGAAGAGGCTGTATTTGAGGCTGTGATAGATGGGATAGTAGTCTCACCAGCTTCTGCATATGAAAGGATATGAGAGAGACCCAAAACGATCTGCTACTACTACTACTACTGCTACTACTACAACTACTACTATTACTACTACTACTACTTCTTCTACTACTACTTCTTATACTATTACTACTCCTTCTACTTCGTTTGTTACTTCTACTACTACTACTACAACTTCTACTACTACTGATACAACTATTACTGCAACTGATACTACTACTCCTTTTACTACTTATACTCATATTACTACTCCCACTACTTCTACTAGTAATACTACTTTTACTTCTACTAACTACTATTAATACTACAACTACTATTTTAATAATAATAATAATAATAATAATAATGATAATTTATTTATAAATGATATCATGCAAAGTCAATCAAAATGATAACATGTTAATAGCTCTTACCATTTGAGTGTACCTGTGTTAGCTGCTCGGAGGAGGCTGTGTTTGAGGCTGTGATAGATGAGATAGTAGTCTCAACAGATTCTGCATATGAAGGGAAATGAAAGAGGCTATAGAAGTTTCAAAGACCCTAATGATTTACTACTACTACTACTTCTACTACTACTATTATAACTACTACAACTACTAATATAACTACTACTACTACTACTACAACTACTGGCCCTACGTCCATTAGTACTACGATTACTTCTACAATAACAACAATAATAACAATAATAATCATCATGTTAAAAAATTACAACAACAAATTAAGAATATCAATATTTATAATAATAACAATGATTATACCAGAGCTCAATTTGCTTACCTGCACTGCAAGAAGCTCTTAATTTTGCATAAAATCCTGAAAGTTCTAGAGTTCTATCAGTTCTGAATCGGATTCGCATTAACGTTGACGGAGCATAAGTTCTGTTGAACGGCGCCAGATGACTTGTAAATCTGTCAATTAGCATAACCGACTGATCAGCTCCTGATTCACTGCTTACGGTCAGCTGGTCATATGAGTTCTCAGTGAAAAAGCTGAGGACACTCAGAACCAGAGAGCAATCCTCCGGCATGGTGATGACCCATAGAACTCTGGCGTTGGAATTGTAGTTGGCAGGGTAGTTGGGAGAAGAGATGTACAGACTGTCTCCGTCTTGAAGAGCGAAATTACCTCCTTAAAATATAATTCAACATGTTTGTACGTTATTGAAGGGATTATAATCAAGCATTCTTCATGATAAGAGGGTACATTTGCTACTTAGATAAACAGATAACGCACCTGAGTAAATGAAGTATGAGACGTACCCATGAACAACTTATAAGTACCAGAGCAACTTATTAGAAATGTTTGAAAGAAACTAGGCAAACATCAAGAAAGTTAATCATTTTTGAAAATTGAGATCACTGTATTAGATACAAAAATTTCAAGATTTTAATAGCATAAAAATGTACTTTGTCCAATTTTGGTGTTCATAAATACAAATGTTGTCCCTACTAAATTAAACTCCTTTTCTTCGACACTCAAAGTTTGAGTTGAGACTAAAAAATCGCTACCTTTCTAGTGAAACAGAAGCAAGTAACCTAATTGTGAAGGGTATTCACATGGGATATGTTTCATACCTAATCTAACAATAAAACAATAAACCTTTTCCAAATAAAAAAAAAAGTCAATACTTGAAAGTTGATATTTAGCAATTGCTTGAAGAAAGGCTTGCCAGGATATGAGGCGGTAAACAGCTACGAAAAAAAACTGTCACTTTATATTTAAATGAATAGCATCTAGGCCTACAAACAACAAAGGTCCTATACGTGTATTCAATTAATTTGATTATGCAAAGTCAATCAAGATGATAACATGTTAATAGCTCTTACCCCGTGAGTGTACCTGTACCATCTGCTCGGAAGAGGCTGTGTTTGAGGCTGTGATAGATGGGATAGCAGTCTCACCAGCTTCTGCATATGAAAGGATATAAGAGAGACCCAAAATGATCTGCTACTACTACTACTACTACTACTACTGCTACTACTACAACTACTACTATTACTACTACTACTACTTCTTCTACTACTACTTTTTATACTATTACTACTCCTTCTACTTCGTTTGTAACTTCTACTACTACTACTACAACTTCTACTACTACTGATACAACTATTACTGCAACTATTTCTTCTACTTATTTACTACTATTATTACTACTATTACTACTACTTCTTCTTCTACTACTACTTATACTAATATTACTACTCCTTCTACTTCGTTTACTACTACTAATACTACTACTACTACTACAACTACTACTACTACTGATACAACTATTACTGCAACTATTTCTTCTACTATTTTAATACTATTATTACTACTACTGCTACAATTACTATTACTTCTAATACTGATACTACTACTGATACAACTATTACTGCAACTGTTACTACTACTCCTTTTACTACTTATACTCATATTACTACTCCTACTACTTCTACTAGTAATACTACTTTTACCTCTACTAACTACTATTAATACTACAACTACTATCATAATAATAATAATAATAATAATAATAATAATAATAATAATAATAATAATAATTTATTAATAAAAGATATCATGCAAAGTCAATCAAAATGATAACATGTTAATAGCTCTTACCATTTGAGTGTACCTGTGTTAGCTGCTCGGAGGAGGCTGTGTTTGAGGCTGTGATAGATGAGATAGTAGTCTCAACAGATTCTGCATATGAAGGGAAATGAAAGAGGCTATAGAAGTTTCAAAGACCCTAATGATTTACTACTACTACTACTTCTACTACTACTATTATAACTACTACAACTACTAATATAACTACTACTACTACTACTACAACTACTGGCCCTACGTCCATTAGTACTACGATTACTTCTACAATAACAACAATAATAACAATAATAATCATCATGTTAAAAAATTACAACAACAAATTAAGAATATCAATATTTATAATAATAACAATGATTATACCAGAGCTCAATTTGCTTACCTGCACTGCAAGAAGCTCTTAATTTTGCATAAAATCCTGAAAGTTCTAGAGTTCTATCAGTTCTGAATCGGATTCGCATTAACGTTGACGGAGCATAAGTTCTGTTGAACGGCGCCAGATGACTTGTAAATCTGTCAATTAGCATAACCGACTGATCAGCTCCTGATTCACTGCTTACGGTCAGCTGGTCATATGAGTTCTCAGTGAAAAAGCTGAGGACACTCAGAACCAGAGAGCAATCCTCCGGCATGGTGATGACCCATAGAACTCTGGCGTTGGAATTGTAGTTGGCAGGGTAGTTGGGAGAAGAGATGTACAGACTGTCTCCGTCTTGAAGAGCGAAATTACCTCCTTAAAATATAATTCAACATGTTTGTACGTTATTGAAGGGATTATAATCAAGCATTCTTCATGATAAGAGGGTACATTTGCTACTTAGATAAACAGATAACGCACCTGAGTAAATGAAGTATGAGACGTACCCATGAACAACTTATAAGTACCAGAGCAACTTATTAGAAATGTTTGAAAGAAACTAGGCAAACATCAAGAAAGTTAATCATTTTTGAAAATTGAGATCACTGTATTAGATACAAAAATTTCAAGATTTTAATAGCATAAAAATGTACTTTGTCCAATTTTGGTGTTCATAAATACAAATGTTGTCCCTACTAAATTAAACTCCTTTTCTTCGACACTCAAAGTTTGAGTTGAGACTAAAAAATCGCTACCTTTCTAGTGAAACAGAAGCAAGTAACCTAATTGTGAAGGGTATTCACATGGGATATGTTTCATACCTAATCTAACAATAAAACAATAAACCTTTTCCAAATAAAAAAAAAAGTCAATACTTGAAAGTTGATATTTAGCAATTGCTTGAAGAAAGGCTTGCCAGGATATGAGGCGGTAAACAGCTACGAAAAAAAACTGTCACTTTATATTTAAATGAATAGCATCTAGGCCTACAAACAACAAAGGTCCTATACGTGTATTCAATTAATTTGATTATGCAAAGTCAATCAAGATGATAACATGTTAATAGCTCTTACCCCGTGAGTGTACCTGTACCATCTGCTCGGAAGAGGCTGTGTTTGAGGCTGTGATAGATGGGATAGCAGTCTCACCAGCTTCTGCATATGAAAGGATATAAGAGAGACCCAAAATGATCTGCTACTACTACTACTACTACTACTACTGCTACTACTACAACTACTACTATTACTACTACTACTACTTCTTCTACTACTACTTTTTATACTATTACTACTCCTTCTACTTCGTTTGTAACTTCTACTACTACTACTACAACTTCTACTACTACTGATACAACTATTACTGCAACTATTTCTTCTACTTATTTACTACTATTATTACTACTATTACTACTACTTCTTCTTCTACTACTACTTATACTAATATTACTACTCCTTCTACTTCGTTTACTACTACTAATACTACTACTACTACTACAACTACTACTACTACTGATACAACTATTACTGCAACTATTTCTTCTACTATTTTAATACTATTATTACTACTACTGCTACAATTACTATTACTTCTAATACTGATACTACTACTGATACAACTATTACTGCAACTGTTACTACTACTCCTTTTACTACTTATACTCATATTACTACTCCTACTACTTCTACTAGTAATACTACTTTTACCTCTACTAACTACTATTAATACTACAACTACTATCATAATAATAATAATAATAATAATAATAATAATAATAATAATAATAATAATAATTTATTAATAAAAGATATCATGCAAAGTCAATCAAAATGATAACATGTTAATAGCTCTTACCATTTGAGTGTACCTGTGTTAGCTGCTCGGAGGAGGCTGTGTTTGAGGCTGTGATAGATGAGATAGTAGTCTCAACAGATTCTGCATATGAAGGGAAATGAAAGAGGCTATAGAAGTTTCAAAGACCCTAATGATTTACTACTACTACTACTTCTACTACTACTATTATAACTACTACAACTACTAATATAACTACTACTACTACTACTACAACTACTGGCCCTACGTCCATTAGTACTACGATTACTTCTACAATAACAACAATAATAACAATAATAATCATCATGTTAAAAAATTACAACAACAAATTAAGAATATCAATATTTATAATAATAACAATGATTATACCAGAGCTCAATTTGCTTACCTGCACTGCAAGA